AGCGTCGTTCCCGTGGGTGGTGCCGGTCGTAGATGGCGGGAAAGTGAGAGGAGGATGATGAGAAGATTGATGAGGCGGCCATGGACGGATTTCCGAAGTAGGGAGTGTTACTGAGTAGGCCTTGGATGGAGACTTGGTCATTGCTGTGTTCCATCATTGGGTGAAGGTGTTTGCTGGACCCAAGATTACTTTTGGCCTGATAAAATGGTCTTCCGACACCACTATAAATATATTCACGATCAGGCAACACATGAGCATTGTTAACGAGTAGTCAGCGTAAAGAAAACCCGATATGCTAGAAAGAGGAAGAGCTTGCGGAAGGCAAAAGCCATGAAGAAAAGTCGACGCATCGACAAGACCAACCACGTATCGAAACTTCGAAAAACCGTTTGAGATTCCCCTCTCCCCCTCTCTCTCTATCCCTCTCCCTCCCGCCTCACCAAAGACTCACTCACTCATCCTACAAACGTATCAACACCCCCAACCCCGAGCCCGTCGGATCCGTTCACTCATCCTCAACCACGTCTCATCCTGTTACTCCCCCCCCCCAGCCCCGGCCCCAAACTAGAATCCGTCCGTCCGTATCCTCTCAGACGTCTCACCCAAAAAAGGACCTAGCAAGGTATCCATCCCATCCCCCCCCCCCACCCAAAACTCCACCAGCGCGTGAGATATATCACTCGGTCATTTATCCAGCGGTCCCCCACTCAACCCCCAGATACGAACGAGCCTCATCCGCCCCACGTCCTTCCGCCCCACGTACTCCTCACGTGCTCCCCCAATCCAACGCCTCGCTCCACGTGCCCTCTTTCTCCCCCCTACCCTCCCCTACCTACCAAGCTCCCATCCACGAACGAAGCGTCTCACCTTGAAACGCGACCACCCCCCCGTTTCAGAACGACGCCTGCGCCCCTCGGAACGTGAGAGCTTTAGCGCCCCCCCCCCGGCCACTCGTTGGGGCAGAATACGGCGACGTGGAGTTTGGTTCGGGTCAGTAAAGGAGCCTGTCTGGGATTGGGATTGAGTTTGGCTTTCTGAGATGGGGCGGGGGGGCTAGGACGGATGGGGGTATGGTTGCGGGGAGGGGTTCGGGGTGTCAGGGATGGAGGCTTGGGGTTTTGGCGGGAGGCTGGGGTGGAGGAGGTTTTGTTTGGGGTTTTGGGGTTTTGACAGGGGAGGGGGGGAAGAGAGAGAGAGAGAAAGAGAGGGGCGGCATGGTTTGTACCGTGGGTCTGCTGGATGAGATCTTGGGCTGTGGATTTGTGAAAGGTTGAAGAGAGAGAGAGAGAGAGAGCGAAAACACGGCGTCTTTTCTTGTGATTTGCTATATAGACTGGCTATTTGGGGAAAGGGGAGGAAAAAGGGTATAAGGACCGTGGGCTCCCGCGCTCAATGACAGGATTAGACAATACTTTGCTTTCTCCGTAGAGACAGACTTTCATCTTTCATGACCGTGGAACGCCGTAGCTTGAATGGACTCCCAATAATGACCAATAAGGGAAGAGTTTTTCGTAAAGAGGACTCGGGTGCTGATAAGCCACAATTACCGAGGCTTGTGGCTCCATGTACTCAATCAATCAATCGCCAGCGATGCAGAAACTACTCTCTTTTGATCTCCACCTCGTCCAGCTTCTTCTCCCGTCCCGGGCTCCTGACTTCCCTGTCCTCCGTGAGTAAAGATGAAATGGCGAATGAATTTTGCCTCGGCACTGTTGGCTTGGAGCTCGGGTTTTCACTGTTGATGGGAGTGAAGCCTTTGCCTGAATCTGTTACGGCGCTGAATGGAGCGCCGCTGAGGATGTTCGATGGGGCCTGCGAGTCATGCGGGCTACCGCGGGGAGTGGGGGGAAACTTTGAACTCGACAAGCCATGGGATCGACACCATGCCTCTTCCAACGTCGCCGGCGACAGGTTGCAGCCATAATTGCGGGCAATGGTGGACCAGAAATGTAAACGGTGAGCGTCATAAACGCGATCAAGCTTTGCCACATCGACGTATTGCCGTTCCTGCAAGCAGTCCATATCCTGAGTGACTAAGCGAAGCGACTGGGTATCGTTGATGCGATGGTGAATGCTAGGGACTGGCTTTGGCAGTATCGGCTTGTGATTTTGAGGAGTCTGAGAAGAAGACTCGCTGGGACTGTACTCCATACTCTCAGGAGGACTCGCCGGCGGTGAGAAGGAGGGCAGCTGTCTCTGAGGAGTCTCGCCCCTCGATTGCGCTGGTGGTGGAGCTGATGATCGTTCGTATGAATTCATTGGGACTTGGGAGTGACGGCGGCTCTTGCTGCCGAACGAAAGCTGGTGGTAGTGGAGTCGACAGGCTAGCTCCGTCTTCTTGAGCTGGCTGGCAATGTGCTTGTATGGCATCTTGTGCTCTCGCGTCTCAATTAAATAAGCCTCCTATATATCTGTCAATGAAAAGCTCGGTTGATAATGCTTTTGCATATACATACCTCTGCATCAGACCAAGCTCTGCCTCCACCTGTGGAGACCGTCTTGCGATGCCGGTGCACTACCGGAGCGCGTAAGGTTTGCGAGTCAGCTGCCGACATGGATTTGACCATCATGGGCTTTTGCGTGGGTGCGTAAGACATGTTGAAGGTTAGACGGCGTTGTCGATATAATTCTCACTGAAAGAATTGTTTTGTTCTTCGGATCTCAGCCAGAAACAGGCTTAACATGTAAGTGTAAAGTAAAGAGAAATGTCTGATGTGGAGCGCCGAAACGTTGGTCGATGCTAGCTTTTCGAACAGGGTCTCGGATTGGATAAAGAGAATTTTGACAGTCGAAATATTAATGCGAATAGGCGATGGTATGAACACGATTTGCAAAAGACCCAACCAGTGGGACGGAAGTTACTGATTATGAGGCTGCGAGGAAGGATGAAGACCGAGGAGTCCTGCCGTGATATAGGTGAAGATGTCACCAGGTGGGTCCAGACCACTATCTATACCTTTGCTTTTTCGAAGTACGTTTGGAACTGTTTCTCTTGGTGGGACAAAGCTAATCCTCGAACTGATGGCTCTCACGTTTCCAATATGCCAGGGGGATATCGAGCTTTGGCAGCGCAAGCAGTGCCTTGCAAGGTTAGGAGGAGGACGTCAGATGTATTTGCAGCTCTGAAGGGGCGTTGGGGGCGTGGAATATTGAGTTGAAGCAGCGACCTGTGTGGGCCCTGGATGGCAAGCTGCACTCATACGCCACATGAGATGGTGGAATGGTGGAATGAGTGCATGAGTCCCCGAACCATTTGCGGCGGAGGTAGAGGCCAGGAGGTTATATGATGAGAGGAGATGACCTTGGAAAAAGCCGCTTTACGGGTGAAATGGCCAATAAGGGTATGCTGTTTTTACGAAACGGTGAGAGATCCTTTCCAGATTACGTCTAAGCGAAGCCGTGCCGTGTTTGAAGGAGATTCCACGTTAACCCGAACAGAAACATGGTTGCGAACGGCACCATTTATTACTGGCTGAGATGGAAAGAAAGATGAAGACATACAGCAAGGGTAAATATAGCGACGCGTCCATGGGGATTGTTTTGTGCAGCGAGCGTTGAGTTGGTGCGCAGTGTGCCTTAATGAAGTCAATATTAAATGAACCGTTGGAGAATGATTTGAAAAAGGACCGTTGGCATGAGGCTGAAAAGGAAAGAACAAGCGCACGCAAGCGAATCGTCAGCCATTGTTGCTGTGTCCCAAGCGCTGTCTAACCCCGCGAGCTCGGGGGTTGTTCATAACTTTTCTATTCGGTTACGAACTTACGAGGATTGAAACGATGCCAAGGGTAGGAGTTGGTTAGATGATGTTGCATCTTTGTTTCATCTCATCTCCTCTGAGGCTTTTGGGGGCACTATCTTTCTTTGGGGCCACTTCATCACTTGGGGAAGGGGACTTGAGCACCGCGGGTCCTCAAGGATCCAAGGGGGGGCCGAAGCGGCGGCGTGGTTAGGGTGTGTAGCTTGTAACAGTAGTGAGTAGTGGCTTTTTTTCTCGCTTGAAACAATGTGAAAGTATGACGACAGGGAGGTTCAGAATAACAAGCACGCGAAACCAGCAGCATGATAGCATGATTATATCAAGGAGTACTTGAATGGGTTGGTTTGTTTGTGAGTGATTCGGTTGGAAGATGAAAGGGAGGCAAGAATTGGGAGAGGGAGAAAGTTTGCGAGGATGGGCCCTAAGGGAGGGGCTAAGGCTGTTTCAGGCATAGTCTGGCGGGCAAACCGTTGCGCCGGGGGATAGATGATAGGTCAAATGTTCGCAAGCCCATAGTTCCATGCAGTTCAATTCATGCATGGGAATGCAAGTATCTTTCTCGTACCCAGGTTCACTTTCTCTATCAGCCTCCCTGCCACATCAAGACCCTTCAACCTCCCAACCTGCTTCAACTACCACTGCCTCTCATCTTAACATCCTATCTCCCTTCAACTTCACTCCCCCTTCCAAGATATCATCATCCCGTCCCCCGTGTCGATGCTGAAGGTACACATCCGCGACGACATGAGCCCTACTTCTGATACCCATGACCTTTCTCGAAGCGTGAAATAGGCGTGACCCCGCATTCTCCTTCTGGGTGAAGTAACACCGAAACGGGCAACTCGCTGTCATTTGGTACCTCGATACTTAACAAGCTGCGTCCGCTTGCGCCAATGCCCATGTCCCATGTATCGCAACGGCCGCGTGATGCAGTCGCCTCATCACACAAAGCTATTGCGATGCATCACCCAGACCAAAAGTTCTCATTTCTCTCATCCATGTTACTACCTGACCAGCGACTTCGGAAGATACATATGAATAGGCAGCACGGCAAGATGGACTAACAAAACCTGGATGCCCTCCAAAGAATATCCCAGATCGACAAAGCGCGGTGTCATCACCCGTTCAGCCAAAATCCCACACACGCTTTGACTACCCGCAGAGGCTCGGTCTGGATGACGCCAATTGCCCAATAATCAAATACTACGTTGCCGTTCTCGCTTCAGAGCGGCCCGCCGCTACTATGTCGTGAGTGAAAGATTCCTGCGCTCCAGAAAATGTCACCAGCATGTCTCGCCTTGCCGCCCGCAGTCGTGTCACCTCAACGGAAATCCCCTCTTCACCTGCTAACATGGACTCCCTTTTCCCCCGCGCAGCTCACAACCAAATCGAGGACGTCCTGTCCGCCCACAACCTCCAACCACTGCTCCACCCATGATACAAGCGCAACAACCTCAGTCGTACTTCACTCCGAACCCCTACGGTCCTCACCCGACTCAGCTCCAACAGCCTTTTCAACCACCTCCGGGCCCTCCACCACAGCAACTGCTCGCGCCGCAACCGCAACCACCACCTCAAGCGGGCTCTCCTCCATCACGAAAGCGCAAGGCTCCTGGTTCGGCGCCGCTGGCGGCCATGCCACCAATGCCCTCGACAAGCCTAGGCGAGCCAAATGATGGTGGACAGCAGGTCGAGGAAGCCAACGAGGCGTCTTCATCGATGCCGCCGCCGAAGAAGAGCAGGACCAATACACCGTGGACTCCGGCAGAGGAGCAGCGACTGAAGATCATGAGGGATGCTGGGAACAGCTGGGGCGAGATCGCAAAGGTGACAAGATCAAGGCGACATCACACGGGGACCGTTGACTGACGCCGTGAAGACCTTCCCTAATAGGACCGAAGGAAGCGTCAAGAAGCATTGGTATAAGGTACGCAGCTCGGGACCGGTCGTTCGACGGAAGGCTAATTGCATTGCAGGACATGCACTATGCCGACTTTGCGGAGGATGATGTAAGCTTCGCAAGCAACATGCTGAGGTGATGCTGACTTCGGAGGATCAGAGCGCGGCTTTACTGGCAGCCATCAAGGAATACGAGGCAAGCAAGTGGAAGGTCATCGGGCAGAAGGTCGGGAAGCCAGCGAAGGTAGACCGGCTAAGCCACTCTGCATCGCCGTTCATGTATGCTGACGATCTTAGGCGTGCGAGCAGTATGCGAAGGAGCATTTCGGAAACAAGGTCTGACGAGTTTGAGCGGTCTATGGTAGTAGTTTTCATATGATACCAGGTCACGAATGGACCAAGTTTGCAGCTAGGGAATTGACATAGGAAGTAATTGCATACCCAAGGACGAGGCTTTACCGGCCATATAATTGCTTTAGGGCAGAGGAAGCGTCACCATAATGGGTTCAAATCATCTGCACATGTCGCGTCGGTTAATCTTGTGAAGTCCCGTGCTTGTACTGGTGACACCAGCCCGCTCCATCTTCGCTTCAAGTATCAATACTTCCCATCGTCGCCTTCTTACCAACAGCCCACCCAGCAGGAGACAAATCACTTTAATCCCATTTTTCCTTTGCAAGACCATAGCTTGAGCTGTCATGGCCGGTTCTCATACACGTCGCATCCTCGTTGATCGCGAGGTGAGTTCACGCTTACCGAAAAGCATTTCCTGAGCTCACGCAGCCAATCCAGAAACCCCCAACTTCAGAGATCCTACGGAGTCTGCAAGTGTAGATCATGTGCTCGAAGAGCACAAGATGGTCATGCACAGGTGATGTTCATCAAGCTTAGAGGCTCTTCAAGTCGAACGATGACTGACACTTTTTTCAAGCCTCTGGAAATCAAAGGAAGGCTTCGACCTTACTTTAGCCTGCGGTTTCATCACACTGAAAGTCCACAGCTTTCTCCTCAAGCCACGATCAACGTTCTTTGCGGCTACTCGTGAAGGCGATTTCTTGGTAAGCATTAAGACGCCCATTCGCTAGAGCTCGCCGTGGACCGATTACAATGACAGGAAGCAACCAGCAAGCCTATTGCGCTGCCCGATGACAACGTAGAATCCGTTGCACAAATGGTCCAGTACTGCTACACCATGGACTGTCCAGATGAGAAGCCTGAGAAAATCTTGGACCCTGGACATCCTACGACTCCCTACATCTCGCGCGCACAGACGAACGCCCAGGTCCACGCTCCCGCAGAGAAGTACGACATTCCCGGACTCAAGTTTCTCGCGGGGATGAAGTTCGGTGCAGCTATGGCGGTAGAAGTCGGTCCTGGGTTCCGAAGTGGCGCTCCCGCCATGATGCATCTGATCGCAATCATCTCTCTTGTCTACGACAGCGCACCAGGAACAGACCGCGTTTTCCGCGATGCTGTCATCGGTTACATGTGGATGTACTGGAAGCAGCTCTCACCGAAGCCAGAGTTCCTAGTACCTATCGCCGCGAAGCCGGAGTTCATGATAGAGGCTGTGAACAAGACGTTCGGTCCCCAATTGCCATGATGGCCGGGCTTTGAACGCACCCCTAACGAGGATCTGACGCCAACTCATGCCCTAAACAGGGCGCAGAGCGGACACTGCTAGAAAGAGAATGCTTGGACAAGATTGAGGGTACATTGAGCGCCGATGGAGGATGATACGATGGCCTTGCCACGAGGCCTACATCCGCCGAGAATTGTGTTCGGTTGCTGTTGACAGGAAGTCCTGCGTTGCTAGCCAAAGCTAAGCCTTGAAACATATCAACCAGGCAGACCATTATGACTACACTCAATCAACCAAATTCGCCTTTTTCCTTGTCGCAATCTTGCCTGCGTGATATGGTTCGCTGACGTCCCAGAATTTTTGACCATAGCGCTCGCAAGCATCAGCCACCTCTGGAGCAAACAAGCAAGCTTCCGAGTAGGCTCTCCGTATCTCAGACCATGCTTCCAGCCTATTCCACCGTAATACATACGACTCTCACAATGGGTCTGTTACCCTCGGAGCAACTACCTGACCTCGAAATTGTTGAACTGTCCTCAGCTCTTCTCGCTGTCGTTGTTCTGACAAGATCTCCAGTGCGACTCTGAAGACGCCTTTGCCAGAAAAGAGATGTTGAAGTCTTTCGGATTGTATGTTTGCGATCTGTGTCGTCCCCTCAGCCGGTCGCTGACCATTCGTGTAGCATGCTCGAGTCAGGCGCCGGCTCTGATCTGACCACCATTTGCAAAGAGCTCACGTGGAAGCCCTACAGTTTCATCATATACCCTCGCTCTGATAACTTAACCGAAGCTAATCGAAGGGGTCTGGCAGAATCGAACATTCGCCAGATTGATTTATCCGCAGAGGAGCCTCGCCTGGTATTACGGATGATACGGTTCCTCTACACTCTTGTTACCGAGGTATCCGTTCACTCACCTCTTAATAACCTCAAGTCTACGCCGGCCTCCCCAGTCTCGAAGAATTTTTCGCCATCGAGTCTCTGTATACCGTGACAGGGTGTAAATTTAGCTACGATGGACAGAGGACATCTGGCATGTACGACAGAAACATGAACTCGGAGCAATTTGTCCGTTGACACATCGGGCTCATCCGAATCTCGTACCCTATGACGCCTGACCGGGATCGCTTCTTGCGAGAGCGCGCGCTTGGATTCGTCCAGCAAGCGATGGGCTGCATGTATGAGATGCCGGATATCGAGCACGTGACCATGGAGCTGCCGGAGATTACTCGCAACGTTATTCAACAATGTTGCGAGTCATCCCCATATCGTGACCGAACATCAAAAACTCGTTGCTTTCAACATAGCACACTTCAACAATGGAATGACCTACAGGAATACTTTTTATGTCACGTTTGCTTTTCTTAAGCAGATCTGGAGTTTCATAGCACAGGCTTTGATTGTAAGCCTTGGTAGTCGGCAGTTGTTGCGTTGCAATGAAGCAATGTTTTGACGCTGTGCCAAGACATCCTACTACTGTTTTGCCATGATGTGGGACATTTCTGATGGAGAGACGGCCATTTTTTCAAAAGAGCTTAAAGGAATAGGATATGGTTGAGACTATTCTACATTGGCAGAGTAAAGGAGGGAAGGGAGTGGCATTAGGTAGATTGGGAAAGAGGGTTTTCCGGCAGTAAGGCGGTTCTCGTTCGACACTTCCTTCTCCAGCACTTGGTAGCCATGACACTCCTATCGAGGCAGGAACCCTTCTCTCTGCTTACTTCTGAGGCTGGCACACCTCTTCCACTCACACCTTACACCCACACTCGAAATCAAACGACATACAAGTTTATGGTCTGCCAGCAATACAATTCCGCCCTATGCCTTCTCTGCCATCAGATCAGCTCGCCGACTACGATGATGTACGTTGTTTTGATACTACTCCGAAGTACCCAGCTGACCAACCCTCTAGTCGCTGTCGGAGTCTCAGAATGCCAAGGCCGAACAGGCCCAGTCTCTTAAGCTGTACGTATCACCCACACATGCCACATCCAATGCTAATCACATCCTCAGGCTCCTCGATTCTGGAAACGGATCTGACCTGACCATTACCTGTGACGAGCACACATTCCACGTCCACAGCCCGATCATGTGCTCGCGTTCCGACTACTTCGCCATCCACCGAGATGCCTCCACTCGATTCCCGGCGTCCGACCCTCATCACGTGCGCCTACCCGACGAAGATGCCTCCCTCATCGAAAAGATGATCGGATTCGTGTACACGTCGGAGTACTCCGTTTCCGCGGATGGAACGACCGGTGCTTCCGAGGCCGAGCCGTTGGCGCTCTCCGTCCACGCCTCCATGTACGGCCTCGGCGAGTTCTACGGCATCCGCTCCCTCGAATGGGTCGCAGCGGGCCAGTTCAAGGAGCTCGTCGCGCTCTGGCACAAACCGTACGGAGCCTTTCAGAGTTCGCGCCTTCTCGACTTCGTCCAGGCGATCAAGGTTGTGTACGCGAGGACGCCGCATGACGATCGTGTCCTGCGGGACCCTATAATCCGGCATATCCCGGAGAACTTGCACGCGATGTTTGGGCTGGAGGAGTTCAGAGCGCTCGTGAACGAGGTGCCTGAATTTATGGACGAGGCGTTTGGCGAAGGCGTGCTTGGGGAGGTTGCGCGTTCGAGAACGAAAGGGAGCGTGAGGCGGATCAGGGAGATGTGTAGGTTGGCGAGGAGGGGGACGTGGCCTTATTTGGATGATTGAGGAATGAGCGATCCGGGGAGGAAGGCACGAGATCGTGGCTACGGATATCGTTGCGGGCACATTGAATGTGCCTTCCGACTCAGATCGCTTTGTGTGATCGATGCTGTGTTGGACATGTATGTCGATTCCATTAACCCCACTCCCTTCCGACTCAGATCGCTTTGTGTGATCGATGCTGTGTTGGACATGTATGTCGATTCCATTAACCCCGAGTGGTTTCCATTAGCCAGGTCAACGGCAAGTGTTCAAATAGAGATTCACCGCTTCAATCCATTTCAATCTTCCAATCCATCGGGCCCCCACATGCTCACACCATCCACTGACTCTGCGGTCAACGGCAATCTGCAATTGTTGGAAATGTATGTAGGATTGATTGATTGATTAAGTAGCTATCAGAGTGCTGAGAGAGAAAAGACTACTTATACCCCCCTTTGCCACCTGATTACCACCACGAGGGGTAGCTACAACACAAGTGTTGCAGTAGATCTCAATCTGCAATGCTCATCGCCATCATGTCGGCCGGGCATGGAGATCAGGTTTGGGATCGAATGAGTACGACACCGGCAGCCGCACGCAGTCGCGGTCGCGGTCGCTAAAAAGGAAATGCTACACGGGCTCCTTCAATTCAAAGTCCACTCGGCGATCCTCGCATCGCCGAGTGGACTTTGAACTGCCCGCCGCTGGGGCGGATCGCAAGGTCCGAGTTCACCTTTCTTTCTTTCTTTCTTGCTTTCTTGCGATCTTTCTTTCTTTCTTTCTTTCTTTCTTTCTTTCTTTCTTGCGAACATTTGGAGGAGGCAGGAGGAGGAGGCAGGAGGTCGGGGGGAGCTGAAGATGACCCCACGGCCCGTTCGGACATTGCTGCGGTCGGGACTACAGGATCGAAATCTCGCAATGACTACTTTGTCATGCAATTGTTGATGATGACGGGTTCGGATGGCTATCTTCTCTTCGATTGGTTGGGTCTGCAACGCGTCCGTGGGCGACGTGGGCGACAGGTAGGGGGTCTACGGGCTGGTGGTATGTCTTGGGAGAGACGGCTCGGACATCGGTATCGGTGCGCTGGGTACGGCTGTCAGGTGCGTCTACGATTCTACGCCCGCCGTCTGACAAGGGACTCGCGATTCGGCTCTGGGATACGTGAGAGTCCGTCTCGGGCGGCTGTGGCCGATGGAGGATTCTCAAGGCTGTTTTGAACCAGGTTCCGGGGTTGGCGTTGCGGGAGCTGAGGAGCTTGCGGTGAGGAAAAGGAGGATGGTGACTGGGGATGGAGTGGGGCGTTGTCGAATCGGTTTCGGTGAGGAGGTGGGGGTGTTTGAGCGGGGCGATGGATGATGGGGCGTAGTTGAGGTCCAATGGACCCTTGTTGCGTTTGCGAGATAGCGAGGAAGAGGTTGTCTCCAAGATTGTTTTGGTACTACTGTCGGAAAGATGGAGGAGTGGCGGCGAGGCTGCCGGGAATGGTAATATCTGACTGTGTTGATTGCAGCGTAGATGACGCATAGAAGCTCAAGCATTGTTCGATATGATGGAAATATTAGGACTTCGCTGAAATACTCGATGTCAACACCTGTGCTTTTGATCTCTAATCCCATCTCACCGCTTTCGCACAATCATCGACACCGATACCAAAGCATCATTTGTTACCACCATTGCACACATCATCTTGTCTCCTTCCCTCCCTCATAAAAGACGGCGATTGATCATGCCGCTTCCCACATGGAGTTTCCGGTCTCATCATCTAGAGCCAGTACTAGCAGATGGTACCATGTCGGTTCGTGAACGAAGAGCATACCAGGTCGGGGGTTTGGAATCGATCTGATTGTGTTCTGGGATTCTGAGACTGGGAGAAGGGTGTCACGTGCGAGATTCGAAATCTACCGGCTCCAATCTTTTTCTTTGCTACTGCTTGCTTGCTTGCTTTGCTCGGGGAGTTTGTAGTGGGGGGCGCATGGAGACTGGAGGGTAGGACGCTGAGGGGCTGGGAGGGATGGGTGAAGTTTGTTGATGATGCGGAATTGGCTGAGAGGCTGCGTGAATGCTTTTACAATTGTACCGCCTCGGGTGCGAATGGGATGAGGATACTGGGCTTGCTGTTAAGGGTGTAGAAGGCGGAGCGATGCTTCCTCACCCCGCGACCAGGCTCGTCATGTCTCTGTCTTGGTCTTTGTGACTCCGTTGGGTCTGGAAGTTTAGATGCAGCTGCTCGATTGACTGTCTCGAGGATAGGAGAGATATCGGCGAACGCTTCTGCTATGTGCTCCTCTATTATAAAGACTTTAGCCGAGGATTGTCGTGGCACACTCTCATACCGGTGCTTCTTCCGCTCGGGCTCGCTCTCAATTGACCTGTGCCCGCGATCTTGTGTAAAAGGGTCCAGGAGCCTACGACAGTATATTCTTCTCGCCCTTTCATATCTGTGCACCCTACCCTCACGTTGGAGTGAAAGCTGTCTTGTTCTGGGAGTCTTGAGGCGGTGAAATTTGGTGGTGGCGGTGTATGGACTTGGCATATTATGTTACTCGATGGAAAGGTGGGAGTATCAAGCTCTCTCTCCCCCTGATAGTATTGTAGTCCTCCCAGCCAGTTTTTATATCTTATAGATTTCGAAATGTCGCTCACCTCTCTTTCCGATATCAAAAGAGGCGGCTTGGCGCTGAGATGGATACGTTGGAAGCAGCTCCATTATTATATCTGAAAATGATCGTACTCGTACAGGATGTTGGAAGCTTCGTTGTAGGGTCAAAAGCCGACGGATGGCCACTCTGAATTGCAAAACGAGGACGACTGGGGTCACCGCGTCTTAGCAGGCTGCGTGGATGGTGGCATTGCCTGCGCTTGGGAAGTCCTTTCCTTCCATGAGCATCGTTGCTGGAGGCTGATGGGCCGAGGCGGTTGAATATTCTCAATCCTGCTCACGGCTGGGTGGAAGCTGGCGCTGAAGATGTGTAGATCGGGTATGAGGGGAAAAGAGAGAGAATGGGATTTAGGCAAGGTTTTGGCGGTTGAACAGCCTTAGGCTGCTGAATATAATGTGGAAGTCGATGTTTGGATTTTTGTATGGAAAGTGGGTCTTGCGTTGTGAGCCAAAAAGAAAGAAATTGGAAAAAAAAAGAATACAAAGAGAGAATAAAAAGAAAAAGGCTTGAAGTATTTTGATTTACATAGTGATCCGTTGGTCCCTCTAGAAGCTATATGTCCATGCTACCCGACGGGTCCACCACTACAGCCTGACCAGAGACAGCAAAAACAGTAGAGCTCGTCGTATTTGGACGTTCATCATCAGCGTGGATTGGATCTGGTAGCGTTGTATTCTCTAGTGGTCTACGCCTAGGCTCGGAGAGGTCTGGGAAATCTCGACATTGGCCGTAGATACCTATACTCAACACTCAGTTGTGTCTCATGCAAAGCCAACTTCATGTGAGAGGGAGTGTGAGGCCGATAAGGCTTACTAGCAGTATAGTAAACATAATTACTCGGGTTCTCGACCATCTGCCTTGACCCCAACCTCACGCATTTATTCACATCCGTCGCAAAGATGCCCGAGGATCCCGTCGTGGCGTAAATGTAATACCTTAGTATGCCCTCCAACAGAGCCCAGACCTTGAACTTCGCAAAGTCCAGCCCCATGCCCCGGAATCGATTGACGGAAGTATTGACCGTCAGGCAAGTGTCCGCTGGGGGCGAGTCCGGGACCCCGCTCGAGAAGAGATAGGGGCATACGACGATGTAAGGCGTGCCGCCGATTGCGATAAAACTATTGTAGGGATCCAGCAGGCATTGGTAATAGTAGTCTATCCCGCCGCGCTTGCCGACGATTTGCCCGACGCCTGTCGCGCAGATGAAAAGCGGCGAGCCTGTCTGATGGAAAGGTTGCTCGGGTGGGTAGAGAGAGACGCCGGTGGTCACGTTCGTAAGGAGCTGTCTCACGTACGGGGCGTTGGTTGCGGAGTGGAAGAAGGTGCGGAAGGCTGGGCTAGGGGGACTGATGGGGAGGGAGGAGTCACGGATCGAGGGTTGTAGGATTGCCCAGAGGGTTTCGAGGAGGTTGACGAGACCTGCCGCGTCACGGTTGCCGCAGTTGGCGATGGTGTAGCGGCCGCTGCGGGTGATGTCGAAGCTTCCTGAAATGGATGGTCAGTCGTCGGTGCTGGTTAGTGTGCTACTATAGCACTTGAGGTTGACACACCTTGGCGTTTCTGTAGGAGGATGTGTGATCCGGATACGAGGATGAATACGCTGAAATGTACGAAGATGGTTAATAACATTGTCGATGGTCACGCGATACAGAGAGAACAAGCATCAGACAGTCCCAAAAGTTTGATTTTTCTAAATCCAAACACTAATATCTCAAGTGTCTTTGTCGCAAGAGGCGCGACTGACATTGCGGAAGATTGTAGATATCCAAGCGCCGGGGCTCTTTAGCGAGCGAGCAGAGCGTGAGAGCTCAATCAATTGGCCCTAGTACACATGAGTGTTTAAATTGATCTCGATTTGTTTCATGCATCGCATACCCTACGGGTCCGGCCCCCCAACCAAGTTGACCCCTCTCCGAAGTGTACCACGAGTATGGAAACCATTGCGATCCACAAGTGGCACTGGTTTTGGGGCTGTAGAGGCTTCGACGTGGGGTAAGTAACAGCGGAAGACCGTCACTGCAGGTCAGTTGACCCTCCATCATGGATGGAGTGAGAGTCTAGTTGAGATAGGCCACTGGTAGCTTGAACAATTCGAGTTGGGAAGGGAAGTCTAGTCGAGGTCGGCGGCATGTGATGACTCGGATGTCTCAAATTGGGAAGGACAAATGGTGGCCATAGATAACGCGAGTATCCCAAATTGGAACATGATACTGCCGTATATCGGAGCCTTTCTGTGGCTTTCATAAGCTCCTGAGTGTAGCTTCTGAACCCTCTGCGAATTACCCCATACCTGGAGGGCATGCTCCAAGGTATCATTTCCCACGCTAGCACCTCCATGCGTATATCAGGGCGTTTTACCTGCAGTCTCTCGAAATATGGGGAGATCGATAGCCATTGGTCTTTTGTTGGCTGAGGAACATCACACGGATTAGGTATCCTCCAGTCTAAGGTAAGTCTCCGCAGGCCAGAGAATCCCTGCAATTCGTCACAGACCATGGTTGTAATGTCCTTCCAATTTGTCCATAGGAATCCTAGAATGTCGGCCTGGTCGTGTCCGTCCCAGTTTGCCTTGAGTACAATATTTGTTATCCTGTGAATGTAGCTCATATTCTGTATAACCGGAGTGGGGAATCCTGACAGCAAACATCCGTCCAAGAAAGAAGCATGGCGTGGAGCAATCATGAAGGAAAACTTGCAGCTTTGGTAGAGGATATAGGATGCTTCCCGGTAGACTTGACGATTGGACAGCAGAAGGTTGGTAAAAGAACTTGCTCCAAGGCGTCCTGTTGCTACTGAATGACCCATTCTATCCTCATGCCGACGCTGCATCACTTGCATCCACCTCGTTAGTATGAGTTTGGGAAGGGCGTGGTCAAGGGCATGGCGGTAGATGACGTTGCGTATTTCTCCAGAAATTTCCATGAGAGGAGAACGGTGTTCTTCTTGTTTGCCAGTCGAGAAAGGGTTCATGTCACTCTCGCTCCGGCAACTTGAGCTGGACAAATGGTGTGCTTCTTGTTCGCCAGTCGAGAAAAGCTCCATGTCGCTCTCGCTCCACCCTCTTAAGCTGGACATCATCTATGCTTTCTACCTGTGGTCTCAGGAGTCCGCGCAAGGAGAGATGCGGACCTTGCGCGGGCTTTCAAAAGTACCGAGGAAAATGCAAGAAAACTTGAGGGAGAGATGAACTGCAAAAATTGCATTCAAGCTTTTCCGACACTGCGGGAGCGCAAGTTTTCAAAGCTTGGTCTTTTGCCACAGGTTGCAGAATTTTTTTACTCTTGGCCAGTCCTAGAATTTTCGAGACCGTAATTGGGTTTCCTTGGTCTTCGCATTTGGAATGGATGTGATCGGGAACGGTCAACACGGAGGAAAAAATGTGGCTTCAAGTCTTTCACTTTAATGACTGGTTTCTAACTCTCTGTCATCATATTGGGATGCTTCCCATTTCTCCTGAGCTCTGACAAGTAGTCCTGCAATTTGACATAGGCTTCCAAGTCATTAGGGTTGTCTCCAGTTTCACTATTGCTCGGTTGCTGTGTAGCTTCAACAGTGATCTGCACACCGGGTAAGTCCGCCTGCAGCTGTTCTAGAGGTTCCAATATGAAGGTTGCCTGATCAACCCTGGGCCTAGACTTCAATATTCCGCCCTTGTTCCATCTAACCGTGAGAGTCTGCAGACATTGGAAAGCCCTCAGGTGCTCACAAACGTACTCCAGAAGCGGGACCAAGCGCATACTCATCGCCATAGCAGAGGTAATTCTCCGCCGTTCCCCCCATACAAGGTCAATATCGACATGTCTGATGCTGCTTGCCATTCTCACAGACATACGTTCCGTCTGATCTAGTTCCCAGATGATTGAGGACTCGAGGGCCACGCAAGTAACTCTGCCGGGGTTGATCGAGATGAGAAAATGACTGTATCGATAAAGGACGTAGGAAATCTCTTCATGGACCTGTTTGTTGATGAGGAAGAGGGCGATTGGGGGCTTTTGCACGTCTTTAGCTTCGAAGATCATCTCTAATGGAAATTGGCGAGGACGGATGGTGTAAGGCATGACGAAGCGGTAGACGCAATGCCGTACCTCTGATGGGAGGTTGAGAAAAGGAAATTGATAGCCATCGTCGTGATTTTTGGGTGCAGAGACCATGCTCCTGGCTCTTGCTTCGAAATGCAACACTTTATTGCTCGAGGCCAGGCTGGGAAATGTCCGACGGAACGACTGTTTCTGGTTCCTGTTGAAAGTGGGTGATTAGAAGAATGTTGTTAGCTTGCAGTATTATAAGATAGGACTCGGTGGGGTAATACAAAAAAGAATGTCGGGCTTGGCTGGTGGCGACAGCGTGGCCCTGGAAATCAGTGGAGTTGACGAAGAGAATTAATGTCAAAGCGCTGGCCGACTAATTTCAACATGATTCATTCAACCATCTAGCAAGCATGCATATTCGAGCCGCTGACTGGCAAAATTACGCCTACGCTAGCTAATCTCGCCAGTCCGTAGAAGTCTTCGTTTTACTCTACTCCTCATCCTCCTCATCTGACTCCTCAAGCGTAGTTTGAGCGATCCCTGTGGCAAATAATTCAAGTCAGCAAATACGCGCCAAAATGAACCCTATCCATCGCGACAGGATGTTGACTCACGGTCTAAATCCCTCTGCCCACTCTGCGTGATCCTCCTTCCTCCCCTCTCCTCATCCTTCTCCAACACACCGATATTCTCCAACGCCTGCATCACTTTGCGGTCCACTGATCCACTAGCGTCGACATGGTGAGAGGGTCTTGAGCCACGATTCTTGGTGCTGCCGTGAACTTTTCGCATGCGGCCGACACCGACGGTTTTGCGGAGGTAGATGTGGCGGGCGACGGCTGCGGCGCGGGTGTAGAACCTACGATATACGTGTTGAGGGAAGGTCGAAAATTCGTGGGGTAAGGCATAGGATGTAGAGTAGGGTGCTGAGGAAGGAGGAGGGCATACCAGTCGATTGATTGGGGTGGGAGTTCTTTGGAAGGAGAGGTTTTGACGGTGTCGACCCAACCTGGGCGCAGAGATCCTGGTCAGCTAATGATCTGTGTTGGATTTGAGTAGAGGTGTAGGCGTAGCCGTGGCAGCCCGCTCCATCGCTGAAGACGTACCGGGAATAGGCAGCTTTCCTTGTCGCTTCAGGAAAGCGGAGTAGGCGGTGATAAATTGCTGTGCCTGTCGTCACCCAAAGTATGTCAGCCATCTCCGTCTGCATACTTTCCAGATCACTCCACCGCTTCTTTGAATCTCGTCCATGAAGCCTTCCCCAGGCTGATCGTTGTTGCTCTTGTGCCCGATCTCGCACTTCGCGCTTTATTTTAGGAGAGGTAGAGGAAACTACTCACGTCGACATCGCGGACACTAACACCCCCCGTCATAATTGCGGTACCGACGAGTCTCAGTAATCAAGAGTCGGCGTTTGTTGTTACTAGGAGTTCGTCGACTTGTTGCTATTGTCAATCTTGAATTTCGGCGATGTGGAGGCTCGCTTAAGAGAACCGCTAGTGCAGCCCTATGGAACTTCATTTCTTGGCGGAGCAGCAGCACGTTCCGGCCATACCATTGGGAATGTAGAGGATTTAGTTGGGTAAATTCTCTTTTACATTTGATTGGTGCAAGCTCTAGCAGCGTTCCTATTGATGCCATATGATATATGTACATCCAAATAGCTCCATCTGGTCACCGTACCCTTTGCGAATAATCTCTTTTTTAGTCCGTCTCCCTTAGAAAGCATCCGTCAATGCACCATGGCTTGCATCTCCCACCAGAGCCTCGTATTTTGCCAAAACTCCTCTTGTGACAGTCCTCTTAGGCCTCTTCCACTTTGACAGCCTCTCTTTGATCTCCTCCTCGCTAACGTCCATGTTCAGCTCGTTCGTCTCCACACTGATTGTGACAACATCTCCGTCCTGCACAACCGCAATAGGGCCACCAACAGCTGCCTCGGGTACGACATGTCCCACGATGAAACCGTGGCTTGCTCCTGAGTATCGACCATCCGTCACTAGGGCTATATTATTAAGCTTGGCGCCCATTATCGCTGCCGAAGATTTCAGTTGTTCTGGCATCCCTGGTCCACCTTTTGGACCCTCGTAGCGTACAATCAGAACCAGATTGGGACTGTGAGGGATAAGACCCTTGTTGAGAGCGATGTCCAATTCGCGTTCTTTATCAAAGACGCGAGCAATACCTGTGAATCTGGTGCCTTCTTTGCCCGTGATCTTGGCTACCGCACCCCCAGGGGCGAGATTGCCTCGAAGGATTTGTAGATGACCTGTTGATTTGATGGGGTCTGACAGAGGTCGAATGATGACTTGGTCTTGCTGGAGAGAGGGAAAGGAGGCCACGTTCTCGGCCAAAGTTTTGCCAGTAATGGTAGGAATATTTCCCTCCAAAAGACCGGCTGCAATCAGTAGCTTCTGTACGGAGGGAACACCGCCTACTTCATAGAGATCCGCCATGTAATATTTCCCACTAGGAGCCAGATCTGCAATGAAAGGGATCTTATTGCTGACACGCTGAATATCATCAAGGGCGAGATCCACGCCGGCCGTGGCAGCCATGGCGAGAAAGTGCACGACACCATTTGTGCTACCACCAAGCGCCATAGTCATGACAAGAGCGTTCTCGAAGGAGCATTTGGTGAGGAGGTCAAGGGGTTTGATGTCGTTCTCCATGCAGGTTCTGATTGCGTCTGCAGCCTTGACGCATTCTCGCATCTTCGCAGGAGAAGTGGCAGGGGTGGATGACGATCCTGGAAGTGTAAGGCCCATAGATTCGATGGCGGTAGCCATGGTATTCGCAGTATACATCCCTCCACAAGCACCTGCCCCAGGACACGCATGCTGCTCAATGTCGTCCATAATCTCATCCTTGGTCTTTGTCAAGTCTCCGCCATCTTCTGGTTGCTTTAGAGTATTGTAATTGTATGCTCCAGATGCTTCATAGCAGGTCGAGATGTTGATGGGCTTTCGGAGGAGATTGCTGTACCCGACGGCGATGGTGCCACCGTAGATCATGATGGAAGGTCTGTTATGTCTGGCCATAGCCATGACAACGCCAGGCATATTTTTGTCGCAGCCGGGCAGAGTAATGCAAGCGTCATGATGTTGTGCGCACGTGACCGTCTCGATACTGTCTGCAATGATCTCTCTGGTCTGAAGAGAAAATCGCATTCCTGCGAGTGTCAGCACTGAGGTGGACACTGCATTGTTTAGATTCGTACCCTCGCCACCCATCGTGATAGCATCAGAGACCCCGATAGTGTTGTATTGCCATGCCAGCATACCTTGCTTTTGGATCGAATCCTTGACAATCTTGCCCAGGTCAAGCACTAAAATCAATACACAGTTAAAGACCTATCGATGGGGCCCTTGAGGTTTGCTTAGAGTCTCGTAAAAGGCAGACTTACGATGCATACTGAGTCAGTGTGTCAACTACGGCAAAGCATTCAAAAAGACCTGTATCTCTTACTTGCATGGATTACCCTCCCACCACACTGCAGCCACGCCAACATGCGGGCTATTCTTCATCGACTCTCGGTCAGGTACACCTGCGGCGTACAGCATTGCCTGCACGGAGATGAGCCAGGGTTCTTTTTATTCTATAGGCCGAAGCTGACCTGCGCTCCTGGAAAATCATGGTCCTTGGTGATGGTAGAGGAATATCGATTCAACCTTAGCTTGCCATCTTGGATGACTCCGTTGGGAAGATGAGGGAAGTCGAGGAACCGTGGCTCCTCAACCTCTCGCTGCTTTTCCTGGTTTGATGGATCCATTATGCGAAAATTGAAGAAGGGAATCGACTCGGAGGGAATAAGACGAGAAGTCAGACTTCTGAGAGACGGCACAAGGTTTCTTTGTATATGAGAGACGAAGCGTCACTTTGTCCAAAATGGACACTTGCATTAGACATTCCGCTGGCGTGGCATGATTGAAGCGGTTATAGAAATCCGTGACAAGGGAAGAAGTAGGATGTAAGAAGTTAGAGTTGAAGCTTTGGGCCTTTCCCGCGATGGTCTCGTCTACTCCACAATTCAGCTGCCGGTACTCCACCACTCTGGCCTGAATGAATGGACCAGCTGGAATAGTGGCGAAAGAAGACCCTTTCGAATTGTCAACGGCTGTCAGAGATAGAGAGGTTGACATAGTTCGTCCCACAGAGGCAATGAGTATCATCGCCACCCAGTCTAGGTCTTCATTGTTGCATAAGTTTCTAAGCCATGGCGGCTGGTGGAGGCGATTGAGACGCCAGCAAAATGGGAACGAGGAGACGACCCGCCCCGAACGAAGCTTGATCCAGGCCGTTGGAATCCGCCGTTGCTCTTTTCCACATCACTGCTTCTCCATCATGACATGCTAAATCTGCGCACGAGCAACAGATGCAACTTGCTCAATCAATACTTTAATGTCTTGCTTGCAGAAGAAGAAGATAACTTGAGATAACCTTGACTCAACGTCTTATCCGTTCAATTGGGCACAGGATTCCGTGAAGGGAGACGCAATTGCACCGTCTGATGCGGCTATCCGTCCACGCTTCACCGGTAGCCAACGATTTACGCAGATGGCACGCAAACATCCCTACCATTGGTCCCTCGACGCGGATGAGCATACATCATCGTCAGAGACTTAGGAGCTCAAAATGATGGCCATGCGGCCTTTTCTCCCTCTCTTGACATTTCCCAGCGTCCTGCTTTCTCTATCTTTGATGATCGTCGCTGCTGCAGATGCCTTGAACGAATCTCCGCCACGGCACTCTGGGTCAGCTTCCGCATCGGTTCCAGCACCTTCCCAGCAGCTTTGCCATGTCTCGACCTCCTATCTTGCCCTAGCCTGGGCAGTGATACGACAGAAATACCAGAGGACACTACATGGCCAATTAGGCTTTGTGGACATGGTGCAGCTGATCGCATTATGCAGTATTCTCCAAGGTCTGAGGCTATGGCGCAAGAGATCCCTCACGCAAAAAGAGCTACCTGGGATAAGCGATGCAGGCCATGCCGAGCGCATGGCTGGCGGCAGCACAAAGGCGTCATCGCGGAATTTTGTTGGGAGCTCAAAGCGAGGTGAGTTTCGATGGCGCATGCACTGTTAATCGAGAAATGCTTACGCAAGGCTTGTTCTTGGGCAATCAGATGTGGAATCTACTGATCCTAGTCTATTGAAAAAACATTCCAGCTTCAAGTCCTACACCACTTCCTTTGCGACCTACCCTGTAATCCGAACCTTTTACCAACCACATCCACAAGCTGATAAGCTCCCCTCGAAGCCGACACCTCTTCCTCTCCTCGTCTTCATACACGGGCTTGGGGGGTCTTTGGCACAATTTAACCCCCTTCTCACTAGCCTGGTCAACGTTGCGCCATGCCTTGGAATAGATCTCCCCGGATGTGGGCGCTCGGAATTCTCACCCACTTCATGGGACGCCTACACACCGAAGGCTCTTGCCGAATTACTGAGCGTGGTGATCAAGCAACATTGTGACCAGAATGAGGGTCAAGGAGCTATATTGATTGGACATAGCATGGGTTGTTCTTTGTCAGCTCTAGTAGCATCTACAGCTCTCTCCTCACAAGCCCAACCAAACGTCGAAGTCCTGGCAGTCGTCGGCATATGTCCTCAAGTAACCCCGCCTTCTGATAAACAACTGGCTCTCTTTGAGAAACTACTCCTGGTGCCTACCCCCATATTCGATATCTGGCGGACTTGGGACAGGCGAGGTGGGCCCGAAAGTGCAAGCGTCGCTCGTCTTGTTGGAAAGGATGCAGATATTGAGGTCAAGAAGTTGCAAGTAAGGTTCAACGAGCAAAGCCAGACTGCCGTTTGGCGAAGAATGGCATCGGGCCTTTTACCCAGTCGCCCCGCCTCAAAGTCGCCCGAGAAAGGAATGCCTGGAGTCGACGTCTGGGCCAGCCTGAAGCTACCTCTGTTCCTCATTGCCGGTGAAGGGGACAGTGTCACCAAAACAGACCAGCTTGTGAAGATAGGACGAGCTTTGGGGAAAGTAGATCGACCAAAGAGCGGCCAGTCAATGGAAGCGCCCTCGCCGTCGTCCGAGAAAGGCACGGCCTCGAACAGAAGTGCGGAGCACCTCCCCCAAGACCAGAAAAGTCAGAGCAAGGCATCTGTGACCGAACTCACTGTTATCGGAAACGAAGCCCGACCTCACTCCAGCGTCCCTAGCTACTCTAGGCGGCGCCAAGTCCTCAAGACTTCTATTTTTCCTTTTCCCGCTTCCCACGGCCTCCTCTATGACCCTGCGACATATCGCACACTAGCTGGCCTTATTCATACTTTTCTCTATAAACACGTCGATACTCGCTTATCCCTCGGTTGGCAGCTCCAGCATCTTTCTACAGAAGGCAAATGGGATGTCAAAAATCTGGCCAAATGGCAAGCCGTGCGCCCAGTCTCCGAACCCATCGCTGGTATCTTCCGCGCAATGAAGACCCTTCGAGAGATTGACGATACACACTCTCCAGACATCTTCGTACGCAACTGGAAGGGCAGGATTAAGGCTGTCATCGACATTAGCCATGAAAGTCCAGTCTACGATCCAAAAGGTCTCGATGAGGGTGGCATTGAGTACCACAAGTTTCCAACTGTTTCCAAGATCCCTCCCACAGCGGAAGAGGCAGAGGACTTCATCAAGCTGGTCGATCGGCTACGTGCTCAAACGCCGGAACCACCGCCTGAAGCAGCCAACGACAAAGTACTGATTGGTGTGCACTGTCACTATGGATTCAATCGCACCGGTTTCTTTGTTTGCTGCTACTTAATCGAGAAAGAGCACTTCGGTGTGCAACAAGCCATCGAGGAGTTTGCGAAGCATAGGCCACCTGGGATCAGGCATGAACATTTTCTGGATCAGCTATTTGTACGCTATTGTGTCGGATTAAAGAGAGCGCCTACGCTGTGATGGTTCGAATCACGGAGGGGGTCAGGCTGCCCTGTCAGGTAGGAATGGGAGTATAGGGCATAGATTGCGAGCATACTTTGGTGGAACGGAGGAGCTTTGCTAGCATTGGACTTGTAGAGCGACTTGCTTCTTTGGCTTTACTGCTTGATACTATATGTATATACCCAATACTTCCAACTCATCCAAGTCCTGGCTTTCTTCGTCGTGGCTGGCATGCTGACATCCAGGAGGCTCTAGGGTCTATCATCAGAGCCTGTTAGCCAGTGAGCGAGCTTATGGCGTGGCCTGAGAGTAACGTACCACTTCGGTAAATCCAATGTCTGCGATAGTCATGCTTTGGGGAAGATGCTCTCCATCGAACCGCGGCGGGGGGCCAAGCGTTCCCCAAGCCTTGATCCAAGCTTCGGAGCAAGTGCAGATTGGTACACGTAGGCTCGTGATCCAGCGAGCGGGCCTGCTGTTTCTTGCCATGTGCGCATGCCAATTAGAGATGGTATTCATGATTCCAATTCCCTCAAATCCTGTGTAGACAAATCGAATGCGTCACACTCGGCGGCTCGCTGCGCTTCTTGACACTGTCTTTCCTTCTCGTAGTCCCTGAATACCAATTGTAGGCCTGCTTGCAATTCAGCATCGTCAGCATCGTCGGAGTCGTAATGGCTGCCGCTGCCGTCGCTTTGGGTCAGGAGATCCGGTTTGGGCTCTTGGTCGTTCGGGGTCGTTGCGTTTGACGATTTGACGGACGATTCGAGTTCGAATTCTAGCACAATGTCTTCGAGCTCGTCGTCTGGGAAGTCTTCGTCGTCGGCTTCGGTCTCGTCGTGAGGCTCTTCCTGTGGTGCTGGTGGCCCGATTTGTGTGAGCTCGCCGGAGAAATCGAGATCTTGCGTCGATATGAAGGCGAGTAGGTCTGCAGCGTCTTCGTCTGCGGCGGCGGGCTCCAAGGCCCGTGGTGGTGGTGTAGGGGGCCGTGCGATAGAGACGGCGCCGAGTGTAGTTCTGGCTGGCGGGGTAGGCGGAGGTGAGAGCTCGCGTTGGATTTGGGTGTTGCTGACGAAGAAGTCGTCGAAGCAGTTTTCTGGGATAGCTTCGGGCTTGGATGGGAGGGGGATCAGGGGCGGCTTCTTGAAACTAGTCGATTTTGTGATTGTAGCCTGGGCAGGTGGACGCAGAGGTGGTTGATCCATTGGCGATGCCTGGGGCCTTTGCAGATAAGCAGCCTTGGTCTGCAATCCACTAATGTGCTTGTCTTCAGCCAATGGCTTCTGCTGTATCATTGGATTCGCAGACTTGGCCTGTAGTGGATTACGAGCCAGAGACGTCCTCTTCGGTGGTGGTTGGTTTTCCTGTAGAAGGAAATCTCGCACTTCTGGGGAATTCACATTCACCATCTGAGACGGTATCATCCACAAGGGGCTTGCATTCGCACAGGAAGTCTGTAGAGGTTGCCGTGACATTGGTGGCCCCATTGCACGCTCCTGTTGCTCTTGTACCACCAGCCCCCCCTGCTTTTGTATGTCAAATTCCTTCTCCTCCTCCTCCACTTCATTCTCACCCTTCCTCTTCACCCCCGCATACATGAACTCCGACAGATGTGACTGACTCGGCCCCACATGTATTCCCTCCTTCGGCGGCGGGGTTGGTATGCCCATCCTATGCCTCGCCTCCCTCTCCCTCTGCACCCTCTCCTCTTTTCTCTTCAAATTCGCCTTCCGTCTTGCCTCTCTCTCTTTTATCCTGTCCGCGCGCTCTTGCAACACTGCGCGCCGCTCGAGCATGGCTTTTTCGCTTTCAGAGAGACGGACTGTCGCACCAGATTTGCGGTAGGCTTTCTTAGCTTGTTTGAGGGTTTGAGGGCGGTAGGTGAGGGGTGTGGGAGGCATTGTTGCTGTCAACGTGGGAAGAGTGGGGGATGCAGCAGACTGCAGAGGACCATGCGTGGGTTTTTGATGCTTGATGCATGCGATGATGCGCGGGAGATGAGAGAAGCCGGGGGCGGAGGGGTTTGGTTGGGTTGGGTTTAGTTTTTAGTTTACTCTAGTGTGGGTTTTGAATACAGTAAACATGGGTGGGGCGAGCCAAACAAATCCTTTCATTCTCTATCGTGCAGCTGCAGGTGCTACTCGTATTTTTTCCTCTTTTCTTTCCCCATGTTTCTTTCTGATGGTTTATTATGAAACAACGTCCGGAGTGATGTAATTTGCACTTGATAAGCGACTCGAACGTGCAAACGAGCATTGCTTTAATTGCCTGGAGTAAAGAGACGGCTCTGAGAGGCTCTTCATCCTACAAGTACGGCTCGTATGGATGAGATTCAGTGTTGTGGTCTTACATTCGCTCTCCAAATACATATTGTTATCTCTCAGCCATCACGGGCAGCTTACCGCAGTTTATGTTGTTCAATGCCCTTTAGTCTCCGTGCCCCTGACTGTCTCATTATCCCTAGCCCGATTCGCAGCGTTCCATCATCTCATATTGCCGCTACAGACTGCATTGACAGCACTAGGTAGGTATTCAATGGCGATTGTAGGGCTGTACAATGAACGACAAGGTCCGAGCTATCAGTCATCGCATATCGGGGACACCGCATGTCATATTGCCGCTTGGTAATCTGGGTCGCATATGCCCCCAATGGCTGCGATGACGCTTCAAGTAAGAGTGGCATACTCCGTAATGTGACAAGGTACTGGAGAATGCAAGATACAATTCATCGTGCTTTCCTTCAACCACGCGTTTACCCGTATAGAGTGAAGCCTGTCTTTTCTAGGGCTCGCTGTAGGACAAATCATGAACCCAACACGTCCACTTCAAACCTGGCTTTTCTTGGTTCTCATTGTTCAAGCGCTCGTTGTCCAACATGTACAAGGCAGAGAGCTCAACTTCACTGAATTATTCCTTCCATCAGGCCAATCAAGTTCGATCGATCGCCTCAATCAGACTTTGCTACCTCAAGACATATCCGCCAGTAGACCGGCCGTCTTTTGCGACGGGAACGAATATGGAAAAGACCTAGTTGTTGCAGACTGCAGGGACGCCATTACAGGGATCAGACGCAACACACAGCGGGTGAGATTTGGCGAACGCTCCGCTGACATACGCACATGGGACGTGGGCCTTCCTTCCCGACAGATAGGGTGTAAGGACGCCACTGAATAATCTCTTCTGGTACCACTACGTTGTCATCTAACTCCTAAGCAGTACAGGGACTTTGCACGGTTCAATTGGAATTTAAGCCTGGCAAATCATCCGCTATTGCGACCTCACTTGATGTATTCCAAGCCGCCGTCGCCGTTTTGGGGACCTGCGTCGCAGGAACAGGGATAAACACAGGTGGACTTGCAATCGATATAGGTGAGTACATGAATGAGTAATTTCAATTCGTAAGTGAGGAGGATAGTCCCAAAGCGCGCTCACGCAGGAATCCCCAGGCGGAGACAACAATTTAGGCGTGGCTCTAGCCTCGTATGATCCGCATGTGCAATGCGTCGATGGCTCCATCGGTCCACCAGGCTCTACAGTTCCCCCTCTCAAATCTTGCAATGCCGTTGTAGGCTTCATGTTCGCTACGAAAGATGTCATCTCATTTGGCAAACCAGGCAGTGGCGCAAGTAGAATCGTTCCAGGCGTGGATGCATGTAAGCTTTTATGCCGTCCCCCAACCCCCCCTCATGTTATGCTGATATAGGGTCATGGCAGCTCCAGATCATCAATGTGTTTTAGAAGTTGATACTACGGGGCCGATGGACAACGTGTCTTGGTATGATATTTGGGCGGCTGCTGTAGCTGTTACTGGAATGTGTGTAAGAAGTGGAAAAACGGGCAAGGCGACGGGTCTCGGTGAGCTAAGACGATCTAATGAGACATTTTCTGGAATGACATTAACCATGGTCTACAGGTGAGAATGGTAATATCTTCATTACGATGTGGAATCCCTCTTCGGCCTCTGGATTACCTGTTGTTACACGCAATACAACCTTGATAAGCAACGTAAGAGAGTTGGAAGCATCAAACGATTCGTGGTCGACGGCTTAGGCATTTCGATTAGAATGCCTGATCCGAGTTGTCTAAGCACAGCTTGAAAGCTCATTCGGGGTGCAAAGGTTCTTGAGTTTACCGGAAAGGCATATCCCTTAGAGGCGATCTAGGCTTTGCAAAGCTCTTGCACACACTTGGTGTTGTGGCGCATTCTATCAGTCCTTTTACCAGTGATTCCAGTATTCTCTTTTGATCTTGGAGGACTTTGCTACAATCCCAGTTAGCTTTATTCCCGTTTCCACTCAGTAACGCCATGCCTGTCAGCTGCCAGATGCCAATGGTGTCTACTTATCCTACGATTTTCGGATGAAGTTACTTCGAAAGTGATTTTTTCGAAGCGAGCCGAAGTAACCGGATTCTATTTTGCCTCTCGATATTCCATGCTGGATAATCATGCTGCTTTGTCTTCTGATGTACTCTCTCTATACCCCCTTCTTGAGCCCCCCCAATCAGCCATCATCCCCTCTCTCCCTCAGGCTCTCTAAGAATCCTCATTCCGTCTTCCACCCCCCTCCCGATCAACAGACCCCTCGATGCAACGATCTCTCCCGCGCAATCCCCCCTCCCCTCCCTTACAGCCCGCTCCGCCTTCCCCCTCTCCGCCAACCTCTGCTTCACCCTTCCCCGACCCCTCCCTCTCCGCCATGTCATACCGGTCGCTTCCCTCGCGTGCCTTGTGCATTGCGAACTTTGTCGATCGCTGCTCGGCAGTCCTTGCTGTCGTTACGAAAGTCTCGGTCGATCGGGTCGTCGGTGGCGCGTATCGGGTCGGCGGAGAGTTTTTACGGCTTGGGGCTCTTTTGGGGCGGGTGAGGCGCCGGGTGATGCGTTTGAAGGCGAGTTTTTGGATGAGTCTATGGGTTGGGGGGGGGTGTTTCAAGTGCTGTTTCTGGGCGATGGCGGAGCGGAGGTTCGGTTGTTTCGGTGTGATTGTGTATGCGGGGTGGGTGAACGGGGTCTGCGGTATGGTTTACGGTTTGGTCTTGTGTAGACAGGACAGGAGGTAGGCACCCTGTTCCATTATCGGTGCGTAAACCTTGCGGTCTGACGCGGAAAAGTCGTTGGGAGGATGGACGAAAACGGGCATGGTACGAGGATTATTTTAGCTACAAAGAATATCGGATTCTCACATTTTCTCCGGTGAGATCGGATGATTAAGGTAAATATTCTCATCCTATAAAATCTCTCGCCGAAACAAATCACAAAAGCAGAAGGGATCACTCTCTGTCCTCAATAATCGGGTGTGTTTTGATGTGGAGGTTGAGAACGCCCTTGAGCGATCTACAGAATCGACGTATTCTTTACCTAGCCCTCGCCTTTCTCGCGGTCATCCCACAAGGGGCAGTACATTCATTACCTTTGCATTGATAAATCCTGAGGAGCAGAGCTGCTCTCGGCTGAAAACCGACATAGACCGCGTACCAAATCCACCCACATTTTTAGTCTTGCGGACGTAACAGCACGCGTTTGGAGCTTTCTCGATATTCACCCGAATGCCTGTGTTTGCGGAGTCCCGGTCACGAAGTCAAGAGGTCGTGGGGAAGAATGGTGCTGAATCACGTGCAAGGTCTTGGCAAACATGTGAAGCAACGCTCGTATGGGTAGAAGTTATAGCGGTGTTAGGATGATTTTCCTTTTATGGGGCTGTTGCTATAAGGCTTCTATGGTGGGGGAAAGGAATGGAGATTTGGTTTGCTCGGTATTGCCATGTTGGCTCGGTGACTATCAGCTATCGTATTTTTGAAGTAGTAACATTTGAACGGCAGGTAGATGCCGCACCTTCAGGGATATCTCACCATCGAGAAACGCCCTTTGGCTCCTTGATCTACGGAGTCTTGACGGAGTAAGGGTATCGTCCCCTCAGACGATGCCCAGAGCGCCAAACGCTCGCACAACATCCTCATCTACATTCTGGACCCATTCCCTCTGGAATGTCTCCATGCCTCCACACTTCTCCACTGCGACTGCCAATTTCTCCCGAATAAAGACCCTCACATCTATCCTGTGCACCGGATCCTCGAAATCGAGGACTCGTCTCCGCTCGTCAGCTGGAGCTTCAGGCCCGTCAGGCTTCTGGGCGTTGGGGTCGTTGTAGACTAGGCTGTCCCGGTAATCCACCTTCCCTTCTTCGAGACTAGCGTCAACCACAAGTTCAGTGACGACGTCAGTCCATACAGTCATGAGGCTCTGTAGTCGAGAAACTATCCAAGGTTGGCCGGTCTCAAGGAAGGAAGTGAGGGCTAGGCAATTCAATTTCTTGTGGGCAGGATGACCGATGTTGTCCATATGAGAGAACCATTCGGTAAGAAGCCATTCGATAACTCGATTCTGCTGGTTGCTGCCGTTCACTTCGCTATTATGAAGCGCTGCCTCGAGCCCGGAAATAAGGAGCGAGGGGCTAGCTACTGCGAGCCGGGCACATACATTGAGGTAGTCAGTTTCGATAATGCCATCGATTGACGGTTTTGTCTTATTCGGACCAGTAGTTTGATGTGCCAGATACGCGTTGTGAAGGCCGGACAGCAGGGTAGACAAAAGATTGGATGAGATCATCGACTGGGTAAGGTCTTCAACAGCTGACACACCACCAAGTTTATCTGCCGACCGGATTAGCAGCTCCACCAGACTGGTGACTGTACCGCTTGCTTCAGGCTTGATGGACCCAAGCAACAAGCCGAATGGGCCGAAGATAAGAGCCGCGCTTGTAAGGAACTCCGAAGGGATGAGGTAGATGTACAACTCCGTGATCTCCAAGGCTTTGCGAAGTGTTTCTGACGCTACCTCGAACATAGGGAAGAGGTATTGAACAAGAGAGACGATCTCGGATGGGGCTGGTGGAGGTGTCTGACCAAGGACTGTTGACCATAGTTCTAGGGCGTCTTCGAGGAGATAAACCCTACTTTCGGAGTTTGGATTGATGGAGGATTGGATCAAAGGAATGATCAAGTGATGATATCTCCGAGACTCGGCCTGCATTGAGGTTGCTAGCGCTGACAGTATGCCGAGAATGGACTGTTTCATTAGATACTCTTCGCCAGCCTGGTCCCACAGAGGAGGAAGAAGGGATATGATTTGGTCCGCAAAGGGGGAAATCTGGGACCGTTAGCCCCCCTGATGATGTCCTCCGTTGTGGCGACATACATGCTGTTCCATCTTTGTGACAATGACATTGATCGTGTTTAAAAGCGCCATTTTGGTATCCGGAAGCTCCACCTCTTCGATCAGTGCCATCAAACTGCCTAGGATATTCGGTACATAAGGCATGAATGGTTCAGCCGCAAATTCAAATGGGTCAACGACATTCCTGAGCTGCCTTCCAGTAGTGACGCGGACAACCTGGTCATTCAATTGGTCCCGCTTGTCAAGTAAGTGCTGGAAAATTTGGTATACCAGGGGCCTATTGAGGCCTTCTTTTACGGGGAGCCATTGACCAAGGATAACGGCTGCTCGGCGGCGTAGGATGTTGTAGCCAGATTGTGGGATTTGTACTTCTTGAACCAAGGTGTTGTTGAGGAAATGCCCAAAGTCGAAGTCAACGTTGCGCTCTAATACCGGTGCTGCGAGCCCAATTGCAGCATAAATAGAGTCTTTGAGAAGGACCTGGGTATTTTCCACAGCTTTTGATAGTCAGTAGAAGACCTCTAGCCGGCTTGGTGTTGCACTTACTGGCTACATTTCTGAAGACAGTCAACAATGGCTGCATAAGCATGTCTTTGTAGTTGATCATCAAATCTAAGAATAGCTTCTCAGAACAAGATCTAATGGAAAACTCCCAATCACTGCCACCACCCTCTTGGGTTTTCTCCCATTCATCCGGCTGTGGAAAGACTTTGGAGTCAGCGTTGCCTGTTCAAGAAGGGTTTAAGAGCCATGGGACAAGCGTGAGGATTAAAAGCTCCTCATACATGCCTCAAGGCTTAAATTGAGGTTGAATGGGGAATTTGGACTCCGAGAATACGTACTTCTTCCTCCCATTCCTTCAGATCCCGTGCGGTGAAGACGAAGAAACGTGTGACCAAGGTCTCCATTACTTCACGGGCAAAACCCCCTGAAAGCAGGTCATTCCTCATCAAATCCTTCGATGTCTTACGCTCTTCTTTGTCCTCATTTTTCTGATACTTGAACGTCTGCACGGGGTTGAACACCATCTTCAAGCAAGCTCGAATCAGTAGTAAGCCTTTCAGTGTCAGCTTTTCCATCGTCGATGGTCCTTCGCCTTCTTCAGCATCACCATCCGAGCCTATCTTTGCGGATGAATTGGGGGTCTGTGATCCGAGTGTTTCCCCGAATTGACGGGCAAGACCCCAATAAGCTTTAGACAATCCAGTGGAATCCGGTAGAAGCGCGTACCCCACAGGGTGGGACTGTACCATATTGATGTGGAGCTTAGATATCTGAATCAGGTGATTTTCGATGAGCTTTCTTGGATTAGCTCTCGAAAGACGTGAACTTTCTTGGACTAATGCGAGCATCTGTCCGAAATGTGAAACGAGGATCTTCCAGATATCCCGAATTTCCGCTTGGCGATTAGGAAAATCGTAGCCAGAAACGATCAATCGCCGAAGAACTTGTAAAGCAAGGAGACTGATTTCGATACTTTCCAGGGCTTCACCCTCATCATCGCCACCTGTTGTGAGGAATGTTATCCAAGTCTTGACGCGTCCAACATATATGTTGCCCACGACTTCAACGATATTAGGGGCTGCAGACTGTAGACTTGCCCGAGATCGCTGTAATTTGGCAGTTGAGAGTTCCTTGATAATATAGAGAAGTATGAGAAGCGTCCGAGAAAGTGGTAGAGAGTTGGGAGTACTCCCCACTTGAGGCTGCAATTGTTCAAGAATTGACTCCATCACATCGGGCCAGTCGTGAGGATACTCATAACGCGTTATCTTCGCAATAACAATGCTTATTTGGAGGGCCAACCGCCGATCTGGCTCATTGACGCCGCTTTCCAAGGATCTTGAGCGGATAAGGTGTTTTTCATCTTTGTTAATGGCATTCGTAGCAGTCTTCCGCCAGTATTTGTCTATTCCGTTCTTGAGTTGTATAACGGATAGATAACGGACCTCGAAAGGAAGTGATTTATTGAGGAGTAGCGACTGTAAAGAACTGTAGAAACCAGATGCCTTCTCCCAATTCTGAAGCTGTTGTGTACCACTCTTTACTTGTTGTTGGTCGTTTGAGGATGCCGACTGCAAAACGTGAAACAGATTTTGGTCTGTCAGGGGGTTTGCTTCCGCAATTACCTCGATGGCAAAGTTCATCTTCACCCGTCAATAGTGATACCTGAAGGCCAGAAGAGTCTCCTTTCAAACAAGTCAAATCGTAGACAACCCTTTCTATAGTATCGTTAGCTGCGGCTCTCTCTCATCTGTTGACCAAGGATGGTGTTGGTCTTATGGTCAGTGTCGACAGTGATACGGAATCATCAAAAATTGCCGCACCCGCGCTAGCCGCTTTGCCTCGGCAAGTCCTGCTATCAGTCATTCTCCTGGTAACGGGCCTACTGTTATTCCCAGGCAGCATGCTCTTGAGATGACATCTATAAACTTCGCTGCTGCTCAGCAGCGAGTAGAGGAACGCCGCCGGCTTGGAGCAGTCGAGTCAAGAACGCGTCTCGAATCGCAACAAAATCTACAAGCCTTGAGCGCGTTGACCCGATTACCTTTCCCTCTAAATGACTTAGGGCAACGGGGCTTGGAAGCTTGGGATGCTATAAATGGGAGAGAAGGAACAAGGCCGGCGTATCGAGTGGGTCAAGTTGATGCAGAATTGCTTGATGAAGAACTTCACGAGTTGCTGAAAGGTCAGGTTGGGGAAGGCCTCAAATACTTTGGTGTACGCTTCATCATCCTCGCTGCTACCAGCATGTAAGCTTACGGCCAGCAGTCTCATATTCGAGACGATTGGTCCTCAGAAATCCTGTTAGGCTTGAGAGCTGTCCTCTTCAAGCTGTCCATCTGGGACCACAACACTTCATACGGTGCCGCTCTACAGAATCTCCGGTATACAGACGCTCGACATCAAGGACCTGTGTCTGCAGCCCCGACCAAATGGCAAAAAGGGCTATATGGGATTCTCACTGTTGGTTGTCGATACGGCTGGACGAAATGGGAGGAGTGGCTTGCCGACCAGGAGGGAGGCTACGAAGAGGTACCCCGACATCTGCGACTATAAGTATCTTCAAGCATTCTGACCGTTTCTAGCCAAGTGCCAGTGTCCGACTGCTCTTCCGAGTGTCATCCGTTGCCTCCACTACTCATTCGATTGCAGCTTTTGCTTCATTTCTCATCTTCCTAGTCAACGGCCGATACAGAACCTTACTCGACCGTATCCTACGCCTCAGGCTTGCCCCTTCGAGCAGTCAAGTCAGCCGAGAGGTCAGCTTCGAGTATCTCAACCGCCAGCTAGTCTGGCACGCTTTCACGGAGTTTCTTCTCTTCCTCTTACCTCTGGTTGGCATAAGTCGATGGAAAAGATGGATATCCCGAGCTTGGCGCAAGACGAAAGCCCTAGCGATAAGTGATGTGGGCGGCGAGGATGAAGCGGTCTCGAACGGCGAGCTCGCCTTTCTGCCGGAACGAACGTGCGCCATCTGCTACCAGGACCAGAATTCTACATCGACATCTGAGAATGAAATCATGGCAATCTCAGGTGCTTCTGGAGGAGTCATTGGCTCGGCTCAAAGTGATGTAACCAATCCATACGAAACAATACCATGTAGCTGCATTTACTGCTTCGTTTGCATTGCTAAAAGGCTAGAGGCAGAGGAAGGGGAAGGCTGGGCCTGCCTTCGTTGTGGAGAGCTGGTTAAAGAATGTAAACCATGGGCGGGAGATGTCTTGGAAGAAGCTTGCTCAATCCTGAATAAGAAGAATGTCAGCTTTTCGGATGATAATGGAAGGCGAGAGACACAAGAACGATCAAATGCTCAACATAGCGGGTGAACAATGAGACCAAACAACGGCTATGGTCGTGGATCTGGACAACTGGAAAAGCTCCGGGGAAGGTCTCGCTGAACCCTAGGAGTGACTGCGCGAAGAATTGGATCCTGGAATTGGCACTGGGACCAGTCGATAACGGCTCGTTCGCGTCATCTTTCCCTGCAGTCAATCACCTTGCTGACACGCATACGTTCCATGAATCGATAATGTGCGCTATTAAACATGAGTAGGAACCTTTCCGCAAGATTCTGCGATATCCGTAAAGTAGCCCTGCATCGCTCGGCATCTCGGGTCGCTTCTGGTGCACAGCCTATCTGATTATACTTGCGCGGTTGCAGAAAACAAGCGTGCTTGCGTACATTTTTTGTGCGCATATGAACCTGGGAATTTCGTAGGAATGACAACTTTCGAGATTACATTTCACACGGAGAATTGGAAGCCGATATCTTTTACAGGGCGGGTCCAGTCTGCCCTTACCGAAAAAGCTACATTATGTCGGAGAGACTTTGATACTTCAATCACTACGCTTGCAGGGCTGGTTGTCCTTCACAACAATGACGAAATATTATCGTATTCTCCTCTCACTCCTCCTCATCTCATCGTACCTCATCGACGGCGCCCCAACCATGGCTCCCATATCTTTACCAGCAGATGACGCTCTCTCCACCTACTACTGCATTGATTCCCCGGCTTGGTCCGAGCCCTCCTTCCTCCCGAAAAATTGCGCAACTGCGATGTCACAGTTCTTTGTTCAGGAAATGCTTGTGCACGGGGACGTTGTTTTCGAGTTCCATGCTGTCGGCGCCCAACCCCGATCACGCTATCCCTCACAACATACGCCACAGAAGTTTACGTATGGTGAGGCCACACGTACATAATTTCGCCAAAAACGTGTCCAAGAAACCACAATGTGCATTTTTTGCAACGAGTTGCACGAGATAGCTGACTTGAAACGCCCTTTGATAGGCACATGCACCATGGCAATCGTCATGCTTGCCTCTTTTTACCCAGAACAACTCCCTGGGGTTCCTCCAGCAACAATGTTTGGTCTGACGGATGTTGCTTCCTACAGTGATGCGTGGAATGCAGTAAAGCGAGTGAAGAACAATTGCATATCAGAATATCTTGCAACCAATGAGACGATTCACGAGAGTGGAGGAGGGATGAATTTTAGAAGTCTGACAGGGTGGAGTGCAACTGGTACGCTGCACCTCCTAAGGACATTGGGCGAGTCGGTTGCCGACGTTAAGTATGTTCTACAGGAAGCAAAGGCGCTATTGGTGTCTTCCTATGGGACACAAATTCGGAAATAAACCAGATGATGCGAGCGGTCAATTTGCCAGCTGACAGTCTTTTATCGAGCTACGGGCCGCTACATTTGACAAATTCGACACAGCTAGAGACCGCAGGGCCACTGGAAAAATGCTGCTGAACATTACATAAGAGGACATCGATGCACATGCAATAGAAGGAATCCAGCAAACGTCAAGCTATGCCGAGCCATTCCTTATCTTGATCTCAAATGACGCTCCAATAGCAATCAACTTCCATTTTGGACGTTGCATGAGATTCTCCCAATTCGCTGCTTGGCATTGCGCCACTTCTCTTATCAGCTTTGCTTCAATCTGCCTTCACCCCCTTAGTAGCAAGGAGTTGACCTACTTCATTCATGGCTGCGCCTAATAATAAGTCAGATTTCCATGTCTTGGTCGTCGGAGCAGGTCCTGTAGGACTGCTAATAGCGCACAGACTCAAGATGCTAGGTATCAAATGCACAGTGTTCGAACGAGAACATTACCTTAACGAGCGCCCGCGCGACTGGGGCTTTGGCATATATTGGGCGCAGAGCTCGCTCATAGAGTGCCTTCCGACATCGCTCCTCAGCAGATTGAACACTGCGCAGGGCGACCCCTCGCGGACTCCGACGCCGAAAAATTACATGCGGCTCATGAACGGGGAAACGGCTGAAGAGCTCTCACGTGCGCCCACGCCAAACGTGTATTAGTTGAGAAAATCGAGGTTCAGAGCTCTACTAATTGAAGGCATAGATGTTCAGGTCTAATACCCTCTCTTCGAGATCGAATGTCATATTGCAGTCGCAATTTACTTACAAAATGTCTACTATAGTATGGCAACAGACTCAGCACCTTGTCCAAAAATACTCACAAAGGAGAACCAAGAGTCACAGCAACCTTCAAAGACGGCTCCAAAGCTGTAGGCAATCTAGTAGTCGGTGCAGATGTCTCGAAGTCCATAGTCAGAGATTATCTACTCGGCCCGGAAGCCGCTGCCATGCAACCGCTTCCCATTATGGGTATGCGTGCCACGTTCACATTCCCAGCTGGCATTGCAAAGAAGATGGTCACTGAGCCCCAGGATCAGTTTGCCGCGATTACTTATCATCCTGCGGGATGTTGTGCCTTCTTCTCCAGTACGTCTCTATCTTATCTATCGATCAACAGAGTTTAGATACAAATACTCACGAGACCTAAGTCTACGGTGTACGAGATCACGAGCGGCCGGAAACGTGGATATGGTTCCCGACGCTTTCGTTCCGCCACGAGGGGGGTTACGATGGCTTGATAACCCCTGCGGAAATTCGAAGTGTGTGGGATTAATGTGCGGGGGAGCTCGCGGATCCGTTTCGTTCGGCTCTGCTTTCGTTGCCCCAGGATACTGTCATATGGTGCGAGAGGCTTTCCCAGTGGCCGACTGTGGCCTGGGATAACAGACAGTGAACTGTGACTTTGGCGGCGGATGCTGCCCTTCCGATGACTTTTCGTAAGCGGACTACGCTCCAACGCGTTCCATACCTTGGCTTCCCGCTTCCCACTTTCCGATCACTCGTTGAGTCGTTACTGCTGGGACCAGCTCTGACCAATTACCTCCGCAGACCGTGGCCAAGGTCCCAACAACGCCGTGCACAACGCCGGCAGTCTTTGTCGAGCCCTTGATGAGCATATCAATCACGGAAAGCCGCTTTCAGACGTTATGGCAGCTTGTCAGACTGAGGTTGTGGAGAGAGGTAGAGAAGCTGTCATTTCTTCGGGGAGGAACTCGATGATGATACTTGACTGGGAGCAGTTGAAGCACTCTCCCATCTTTACACAAGGCGTTGTTGGCCGTGCCAATGGTGGACAATGAAGGATGATGTTCCGGTTGAGTCGGGCTGGAAAGCTTCATGCATGTCCGGTTCTGCATTTGGCAACACGCGCTTATCTGCTGTAGGGATGGCGGATGGGGGGTTACCCGTAGGTGGCAAGGATTAGAACTTCTGCGACTGTGTGGATTTGGCTGCTTCTGATTGGTCGCAAGGCAGTGTTGCGAGACCGAATTGCGACATTGGCCACGAGGCCATGAGCTACGTCACCCGCTTGGTGCATGTGCTCTAGTCGACGTGTGAGTTTGGTTAGGAGTCGTCTAGACCATTACGACATATGAACAATCCCGTGAGATGTTGAGAAAAGAAATCTGGGGGCAACTTTGCCATCTTTGTCAGGTTTACCCATCGCATCAATCGGTATTGCCGTGGGGAAACCCGCGCATGCTCCCTTGGTAGCGCCGATTTCCGCACGATAATACACTTGGCGTTGATCTGGCCGTGTTGATCCGAGTATGCATCAATGGATCGGTAAGTCTGGGGGTCTGGATGATTGCTAAATGGAATTCGTTGACTCGTGAGTTGAGCAAACTTACACATCGACGAGAGCAGGGGTTCATTATCAACCGCTCTTTAGAACAAGATGTCGTGAAACTCGTCTCTTGCATGCTCAGGAAGCATTTCGCTCCTGGAAACTCTACTCTTTATTTTGTTCCTTCGCCACCTCCTCAGCGCTTCACGTCCATCCATCCATCCATCCACCCTTCCATTCAATCACTCTTCCTCCCGAACTTCCCACCGCTCCTCAACCCCCACCACGTCATCCCAGTCACTAACACCATACTACTCGCCGCGCAGATCCAAACAGTTGCCTTATACCCCTCAAAGAACACCCCTCCCCCATACACCACCCCCGCTCCGACCCCTTCAAGATGCGCACTCACACTCGCCGCCACCGCCGCCGTGACAGCCAACCCGGTCAAGTTCCCCAGCTGCGCAAACACATTGAACACCCCGCCCGCCAAGCCGTTGTTGCTCGGATACGCACTCGCGATGAGCAGATTCGACACCGTGAATAAGGTGTCCGGGTTGATGGCCGACAGCAGCATGGCGAAGAAGGCGTCGGTCCAGTATGGCGAGTCGGGGCTTATGGGCGCCATGAAGATGGATGAGGTGAGACTGATGGCCGAGGTTACGGAGACGAGGAGCCGCACGTGCACTTTGGATTCGGGGATGCCGGTTATGATGTCGGTGACGGCGGCGACGACGACCATGGGGAGGAAGCGGAGGGATGTTTGGAGCGCGCTGAGGGATTGGACGCGTTGGAAGCTGGGGGGGTTTAGGTCGTTAGATTGAAGGGATGGAAAGGGGGGGTAATGGGGAAAGGGGCCTACAATAAGGTTGAGAAGTACTGGAACGCGTTGAAGACGGCCCATGTGAAGAATACTGCCACGCAGGCCGTGGTGAAGGCCGTGTTCTTCCACAGGCTGTTCGGAATGATGGCCGGTTTCCCCAAGCGCTCCTGGCGATGCATCCAGTACGCGAACGCCGGCACCAGAAGCAGCGATAGCGTCAACAGTGCGATGTTCTGCGCCTCTCCCAGTCGTGAGTAGCTGGCCGTGATCATGGCAAGGACATAGGACAGCAGTCCGAACGCCACGCTTAGCGTCATGGCTCCGATCTAGTTAATTTCGCCACCTAGCCGCTTCCACGACACGTCCTTTTGCTCATCCGGCGGTAGATCCCAGAACGCGGCGAGGAATGAGAAGAAAATGATGATGGCGCTCATATAATACCCCCAGCGCCAACCGACCGTGTCGGCAAAGACACCGCCAAATATCAAACCCAAAGCGTAACCAAGAGGCTGGCCCACACCCTGACACGCGAAAGAAGTATTCCTCCTCGTACCCTGATCAAACGCTTTCGTGGTGATACCCACCGCAGCGGGCAGGCACATGCTGATGGAAACGCCCAACAGTGTCCGAAAAACAATGAGCCGGATCCCCGTCCTGCACAACCCGCACGCGAGCGTGGAAACGATATACAACCCCGTTCCCGTCAGCCACATCTTCTTCCCGCCCACCACTTCCGCCATGGAGCCGAAGACTAGCAACGTGCAGCCGGCCGCGAGCGCGTAGATGGATGCGGGCCACAGCAGCAGTCTCTCGGAGAGGGATATGTCGGCGGCTATGGTGGGCAGGGCGACGGTCAGGATGCCGGAACCCATGGTGTTGAGGAAGGATACGCCTGTTAGCAGGACGATTTTTGGGACGCTTTGCTGCGTGGGATTTCTGTGGGGGTTGTTTGGGAGGCAATGTCGCTTTCTGCGAGGCGCGTGTCGCTGTGCTGGGATGAGGGTTGGAGAGCAGAGAAGGGGTTGAAGGTGTCGAGTTCGGTTTCGGTGATGGTGTTTGACATGGTCGAGGTGGGCGAATGCAAGAGAAGTCGGATTGTAGGTGTTGTTCTTTTGGCTTTGAAGAAAGCGTGACTACATGACTACTGAGGTACTTTCTACCCACTACGACGGAATCTAAAGTAGGAGACTTATACAAATTTCGGCAACGGAGAATGAAAGCAAAATGTAACGACAGTCAGTGGTACTTAACACCTGTGCTTACTTGTATGTTCTAGGGTAGGTTGGTAATGCCCGGGGCTAAGGTAGGTCAGATCAGCCCATCTCGCGCCTCCGAGCGAAGTGTTTTCTTCTTCCATTTCGCTGTCATGCGAGTGCTGAAGAGGAGCAGGGGAGATAGAGGTGAATCTGATGATAAACCGAGGTCCTACATTTGACGTGGTACACCTCCTGATAATATTGAGGGATCCTCGTACTGTTGAAACTCTCCCACCCTCACTCCTCTTCTCAGCTATGCCGTTCCCAATTCCATCTTCACGCTGCCGGTTCGGTACTCCGTCTTGTGATGGCCTTGATACTTTGGACGACTAAATGTTTGTCAAATTTCGTTGAAATTTTACCCCTTCTTCTTCCCTCGAGACCTTTTTGAGGTCCTCTCCTCTTGCAATCTCCTTCTCCCTGGGAGAGTTATGACAAAGAAGAGTTAGCAGTCTGACTCACCTTCGCGGCTCAGGCGCAGTGGTATGATCTCCAGGTCTTCTATTCCTCACCAAGAAAAGCAGAGTCACAATATTATAAGCTGAGCTTTCAGCTATAGAGGCAATTTCGACTTGCATGGTATTCGTCAAACCTTGGAGAGAATTCTTCTGGGATTGTTGAAGTGGTTGTTCTTATGCTTATGAAGCAATGTTATTTTTGAATAAATGGAGAATTGAGGAAAATGCCAGAATGATCCCCTACCTGGAGCCCAAATCTCCTCAAACCTCCAACTGCTTTCCACTTGCAACACTCAACATCGGGCTCCCGAACCCATACCTCAAAGCCACCGTCGCTCCTAATTCCCCCCCCTCCTTTCTCATATGCGTCGCTGGCCATTCCTTGGCCCGATCACGATAATACTCCTCGTGCAAGTCCCCTTCCGCCTTACAATTATATGTCGCATACACGACCCTCCTATCCTCCGGGCTCTTATTCGCCCCACTCCGGTGAGCCAGGTAACTGCCAAAGACGAGCAGCTCGCCCGCTTGCAACTCACACAACGATCAAACCGCATCCGCGACCCACGCAGGGTCGATGCAATTGTCCTTTCTGTCCATGGAGACGTCCATCTTGTGGCTATCTCTGACGATTTCGAGGCCCCATCTCGCATGGTTGCGGCATCGACGGCGAGGAGAATGGTAAGGTGTTTGATTTTTCGGATGTGCGTGTAGGCCGTTGAGTCGATGTGGGGCGCGAAGCCGCCGCTGCCGGAGAGCTCGTGGAGTTGATCTTCTCTTTGAAGAGGAGCATGGGTTCAGCGGCGACGCATTTGAGGACGCTGAGGATGCGCGGACCTCGGAGTAGGGTGTTGAAGCCGGCGTGGTGGGAGGCGAGGTTCTCGGTGCGGCAGAGGACGCGGGCGCTGGTGGAGTTGACCTCCTGTGGTTGATGTGCGCGGGTAAGTGTATCTTAGCGCGTGTTTCAGAGGGGGGGAAAAGGGAGGCGGTGAAGACAGAGACGATTGAGGATCGGTAGTAGGGGAGGTTGTTTACTTCGTAGGGCATCCATGGGGCTTCTGGTGTTCGGGGCAAGTCATGAACTTCTTGCGCCCATTGTTGGAGATTTTTGCTCTCTGATGGGGTCAGCAAGTTGCGGAGGAATAGGTAGCCATTGTCGTTGAAAGAATTGAATTCATCCTGGCATGGGTCAACTGATGTAGACATTTTAGTGGATGCGGATAAAAAGACGGAATGGTGGGGTTAATGTGAGCGGATGGAAATATGTGGGCACCGTACGTAAGATGGTACCTAACGACATCACAATGAGATTGTTATATCTCAACGGATGTCGTTGGATTGTGATCTAGAAGAAAGAGCGAGAAAGAGAGCGCAAGAGAAATGGCGGAGTACCCTGCTTTCCAGCATTAGTTGTCACATTCATGAAAAACACGCGTCAATGCACGCATAGGGGCCCACATAGAGTGTAGATAGTGGTTAGGCCGTCTCACGCCGGAGATGATAAGCCTAAATAGGTATATTTCTCATACCCTAGCGTAAGAAAACTCTTATATCTATAATATAGATCTGAAGTAAGATAATAGCTAGCTATATATAGATATAAGTAAATAGAATAAAAAGTATATAATAGCTCTAAAAGAGATGAAATCGAATAAAGAGCTATTAATAGATATAAAATAGATAAATATATAGCTCGTACTAAATATCTATCCCTAACCCCTTATCGAGATATTAATAGAGGTATTAATAGGTATTAATAGAGCTATAATATTATATAACTTATTAATTCTCAGTCTTACTATAGCGATTAGTTATTATATTTATAAAAAATACGCGTTAATATACGTATAGGGGTTTATATAGAGTGTAGATAGTGGTTGAGTCGTTTTACGTCGAGGATAATAAGTTTAAATAAATCTAAATAGAGATTTAAATAGATATATTTCTCGTATTTTAGCGTAAGAAAACTCTTAAATTATTAAAACGACGTTCTTATCGAGGATATTTATAACGAGACTCGCTATTACTAGCGCTAATAAGATAAAAGATATTAGTATTATCGAGATATAATAAGTATTCTAATTAAATACGTTATAATATATAGACGATAGAAATTTAATTTCTATCTTTCTAGTAGCTAAATCTTCTTATCGCTAAGATCGATCTCTCGCGTAAATATAGCGATCTTATGACGGAAGGAATAATCTAAAAAATAATCTTTCTTATTAATCGATTTTAATGCTTGACGAAGAGTAGCGATAACTAGATTTCTAGTAAATTAATCGTTTATTTTAAATAGTAACGATATAAATAACGTCGGCTACTTCTAAAATAAGTATCTTAATATTTTTATTATATATACTTCGTTATTAATAGCGGTTACGGTAAGTATAATACCTTATTAAAATAAGTTTATTTTTAAAGTTGAAAGAGTTAACTCGAGATAGTTATTATATAGTTTTATCGACCGACGAGTAAGAAATTAATTATTAAATTCTTTATTCTATCGATTACGCATTAAATAGATAAACTCGCTTATTTTAAGAAAGATCGTAAATATTAAATAAAAGATAATATATATAATAGCTTTCTTCTTAGTAGATTAATTAAATAATGAGAAGACTTTAAGAAGTCTATTCTTAATAAGTAAGTGTCTTTCTCTTATATCGGCCTCGCCTCATAGCCGGCGAATATCGACTATTATTTATTTTAGCTGCGGACTATAAAAAACCTTAAGATTTTTATACTCTAGATTTATTTATATAAATCGAACATCGATAAAATATATCTTAATCATCTTTATCTTAAGTCGTTTAATATTAAGCGCCGCGATCTAACTAGTAAGTAAATTTATGATAATTAAAAAGAGAGAATAGTAGTTATATAACGTATAGTAAGTATTATTAAACTTAATTAATATTAAGTAAATCTTTCGAGTCTTACTCGCTAAATTCTATTAGAGAAGATAAGCGATATCTTTAAATAGAGAGGTCTAACTATATTATAATTTTAATAAATTATATTTAAGCGAGACGAAGAGATAATTAGCTATTTTATTAAACTATAAATATCTATTAGCAATTTTTTAATATCGAAAGCGTAAGAGATTATTAATTAACTAATTAGTCTTAATAAATATCTATATAGAAGTTAAATAAATATTATATATAATTATAAGTATAGCTATTTCCCGTAGTAGTATTATAGCTAGCTTATAAATAGAAGACTTTCGAAGACTATAGATATAAGTATTATTATCGCAGTAGAGGATTAAGCGAGATCTCTAGAGTTAATTTAGCTACCTTTACACTATATAGCCTATAACCTTTATTTCTTTAAATTAAATATTCTTACGAAGATCTCGAATAGATATCTATAGATTAAAGATATTTTAAATAATTGGCGATAGACCTAGATACTTTAATATATAGTTATTTATATCGAGTTTCCTCGATATATTAATTTAAATATATTATATTCAACGATCGATGATAACGCGAAGTAGTTTTAAACTATCTTAATTTTTTAGAAAGAATTATTACTATAGTAAGTTCGCTCTTATATTAAACGTTATTTATATAATAATTATAAATTTATAAATAATATTAAAAAGGCGCTTTAAGAAGACTCTCTCTAGAATTATAATCTTAATAATAAATAATAGAAAATCTATCGTTGACTCGAGTTTTCGATATAAGATTATTATTCTTTTTAGTAAATTATTTATTATATTTCTCGCTTAATTAAGCTTATTTAAAGAAAGTCTAATCTATATTAAGTTACTATCGAATTCGATTTTTAGAAAATTCGTAATTATATCGAGAATATCTTTTATATAATTTATTATAAGGTCTAAATTAATATATATCTTATCGAATATCTAGCTATAGACTATATCGTTAATCTTTAAGATTAGAATAACGAAAAAATTATCGAGATAGTAGAATATAATAACTTAATATAGAATCGTAACTATAATTTAATTGATCGCTTTAGCGAATAGATTAAATAGAAATAATAATATACATAAATCGAATAATAGAAAGCGTTCTATTTAATAGAAACTGTTATATTAGAAGCTTAATAGTTACCGATTCGAAACTACTATCGATATATATCGAAATATATCTTTTAAATCTTATTTAATAAGTATAGCCTCGCGATTTTACTAGAGTAATACGGCTACTATATTATTAAATATAATATATTTTAAAATATCTTAATTCTATAATATATCGTCGTTAATTAATTAACTATAGAAATATGAGAGGTTATAAATTCTTCTTTAATCGCTATTATATTTCGAAACTAAATTCAATAGCGTGTAAACAAATTAAGGCTTCGCGTCGATATCTACTCTATTTAATCGATTATATTATAGCTGTTTTTAAAGATTCGCTATTAGAATATTTAATATAGCAAAAGCTAAAAAATAATTTGCGTTACGATAGACTATAAGAGAGCCTCAATATCCGATTTTTACGCCCTTTCGAATTATTGCTAGTAACGCTTTAATATAGATTAAGTTCGAATAATTTCTTAGCTATATCTCCTATTCATTTAATAATAATAGGTCTTACTACGATAGATCTAGCTCGAACTAATTATATAGAATATAGGGGAATTCTTCTACTATCGATAATAACGATATTAATATTAAGACGAAATAAGAGAAGTTCTATAGTTATATCTACGACTTAATAACTCAATTTCTTAATAGCGCGAGATTTACGTTATTAGACGACTATAAGATATAGACTCTTAAGTATATAAAGACGAAGTAACTCTATTAATATATAGAGTAGATATAATTAAACTTACATTAATCGCGGGTATAATAATTCGCATTAAAGATATTATAGATAAAATTATTTTTTAAAGAGAAGAATTTAGTAAAAGGTCTATCGTTATATCTAATAGTCTCGAAGAGCTTACTTTTCTAAATTAATTAATTAAGATAGTTTTAATTATTCGTAATCTATATAATAAGATTATCTTAATTATTAATAATACGCGCGAATATAAAGAAATAGTGATATTAAAGAATAAACTCGAATAAGTAATAGATTAATATATCTAATAGATGAATATAATAGTTTAATAGAGTTTACTATAATTAAAGTATTATCAACGACTAAGTATAATAATAAACGGTTTATTTATATATCTCGAAATAGCGAAGTAACTAATTAAGATTAATAAACCTCTAAATATTCTTATTCTTATTTTTAAATTTAATATCTATATCTTAAATAATATAATTATAGGCTAGCCTAATAATATACTTTAAATTAAAGGTCTTAAAGAAGATTTACTTAAAGTACTTAATGTTAATTATATAATAGCGTTCGTGAAGTTTAAGAAAGAGCTTATTATCTTATTTATATAAAAACGATATCTTTATATAACCTTTATTCTTCGAGTCTGAGAAGGATAAAATTAAGTTATATCGATAATAACGATAATAATAAGATTAAAATCGAGACTTATAAATATAATATATACTTTAATTAAGTTCCTTTATTATATTCTCGAGTTTCTAAACCCTACTATATATTAATTATAATATTTCTTTAACGATCTCTAGAGTAATAATACGAGATAAGATGAATAATATTTAAATTCGATAAATCGCTTTAATGGCTTAACTAATAGACTTAATAACATTCTTAGAGATTTTCTTAGAGGTAGTAAACTTAATCTTCTTTAATTAAGAGCGAGGCTTAAAGATCTTATTAAACGAGGATCGTGTTTTAGCGGCTATTGTATGCGTGGGTAGGTAAGGATAAGATAGGTATGCGGTAGAAATGGTGTGTGACAAGGTATGTGTTACTATTAGTGTCGAGTAGTGGCTATGGACTACGGTAGGAAGATGCTAATTGGGAAGATGCTAATTGATGGTAGGAATAAAAAGTGTGTAATGGCTCTAAAAGAGATGAAATTAAATGAAAAGCCATTAACAGATGCAAAACAGGTGGATATATAGCTTATACTAGACACCTATCCCCAACCCCTTACCGGGGTACCAACAGGGGTACCAACAGGTACCAACAGGGCTATGATGTCATGTGACCCACTAACCCCCCAGTCCCACTGTGGCGAACAGTCGTGAGACTCCGAGGAACAACTTTCCCAATGAATTAACATAGGCATATGCAACACTCAACCTCTAAACCTCGTACTTACTGCCTTTCACGCCGTTCTTGGAAAGCGCACCCGAGATGCCGTACCATCTAGAGGTATTGAATTCACTGTCGGTAGCGGCCGTGGCTTTTCTACCGGACACAGCGTGGCAGCAGTCACCTTCCTAGATAAGTAATTTAAGATCATCTGCTCAGGCCTTCCTGCATTCATATTATAGCTTCTTCCACGTACCTAGATTTCAAAGCCGCAAATACCATGGCATCCACCACCTCCAATGCCCACACGGCGGGTGAGAAGAGCCGACATATCATACGTTTCCTTGAGGAACGCGGTCAAGATGACTACATCGGGGAGGATATCAGCCAGCTGGAGCATTGCCTACAAGCCGCCCATCAGGCAAAAGGAGCCGGCAGTCAGGATGAAGTAAAGCTTGTTTCCTTGACAATTTTTCCTAGAGCACCACTGTCTTGGCCATGACTCCTGAAGCATGTCTCGTAGCTCGTTTTGCATCCTGATGAACAAATGCTAATCTCAAATTCTCGAATAGGTCAGCATCGCCGCCTTGCTTCACGACATAGGGCAGTTCCTCCCAGCGGACTTAGAGTCTGACCAGATCAAAGAGCTCAAGTCGCAAAACGATTCTGTCTCAGTTGGCCGAGTGGGGCACGAGACTATTGGAGAGCACTACTTGCGCTCGTTAGGGTTTGGAGAGACAGTTTGTCGTCTCGTGGGATCTCATGTCGCCGTCAAGCGTTATCTCACTGCTATCGATCCGGCCTACTATACCGGTCTGTCTGCAGCATCGAAGAAGAGTTTGCAGTTTCAAGGGGGCCCGTTGAAAGGCAAGGAGCTTGAAATGTTCATGACGGACCCGTTGAGCGAGGATATGATCAGGTTAAGGAAGTGGGATGATGGCGCAAAGATTGTCGGGATTGTGGACAAGACGCCGAGGGCTGGGGGATATCAGGCATTGATTGAAAAACACCTGAGAGGGAACACAGAGAGGGTTTAAAAAGAATATTGACTTCCTCACTCTCCTAGTCGACCCTGAATGTACGTATGTACATGATGAAAGATGATTGGATGCATAGAACCAAGGTATTGTACAACAGTATCAACGGCGGTTGCCTCAGTCCCTCCCTCAGAGCGTGCTAAGCTCGCTCTTCGCTAGCTAATCCCCTTCGGGTTAGCGCCTTCTGCCACCCGAAGACTGCGAAGTCAACGGAGTAACCCAAAAGGGCGAAGCGGAGGACCGCTAACCCGAAGAGGCTTAACGATTTTGGCACGTCTGAGGGACTGAGTCAAAGACCGAAAGATTTTCCCGCAGTCTCAGAGGGCGCGAAATTTGCTCCCGAGGTAATCCTCGAGGGTAGCCCCAACAGCCTTGATAATGCAATAGAAGAGTATCCCGAAGCCATCAGCGAGGGAGCGCGTCGAGAGTCCATGAGCAACGTCATGCGCATCTCAAGTATATTGACAGTCGTGGTATCTGGTGTCGCGCTGTTCAGTGATGGATACAATGCTCAGATTAGTAAGTGTTCGGACGATAAGAGGAAGCCAGTGATGTGGCTATAGGTTGAGTACGGCTAAGCCTGACACCCATTTGCCTAGTTGGATATATGGAGCCTCTGTTCTCGGATCTGTATGTGAATTCATGCACGCTGTGACCTTGGATCGAAGCTGCTAAGTGGTGGTGGTGGTATCAGGTATGCTCATAGTATCTCTTCGACCATCAAAACTCGCTTGTCGAATTCGTACCTCATCGGCGAGATTTTTGGCATTCTCACCTTTGGGTTCATAATCGATAAGCTTGGACGTCGAACGGGCATCGTCTTCGCCACATGCTTCCTCATCCTCGGCATTATACTGGCGACTGCTGCCCACGGTGAATCCCAAATTGGGTGTGTGAATTCGAACAGTGCCTCCAGCTACAAGCTCATTCTACCTATCCACGGTGCCACTAACAGTCATTGTTGAGTAGCATGTTCTGGATGATGATCGTCGGCCGCGGCGTCGCCGGCTTTGGTGCTGGTGGCGAATATCCAGGTATGTCCCCTAAAGATAGCGCCAGATTGAGATCCTTCGCACCTACTCAAGGAGTCTAGTCTGCGGGACCAGCTCTGCCGAAGCCTCAGACTAATGTGCGTATGTTCGGAAAAGACAAGGGATACTCGTTGCAATGTCAACTGATTTCGCCATTTGACACGGTATGTGCGCTCCGACCTGTGAGTATTGCCGCTTGATCCTGGTATTCATGATGCGCCTTTACAAATTCAGGGTTTCGTTGTCGCTGGTGTCTTAGCTTTGATTATCTTGGCCTGCTATCATCAAAGGCTCTCTGAAGGTGTCTGGAGAGTGGCATTCGGACTTGGCATAGCCCTTCCGCTCACCGTATTCTCCTTTCGGATACGAATTATCAACTCAACGCAGTACCGCAAGCATGCCATCAAGCAGCATATGCCTTATTTGCTTGCTCTTAAGAGATACTGAAAACCTATGTTAGGGATTTGTGAGTCACCAAAGCCAAGCTTTCAAGTAAGCAGTCGTCGTCGGTTGACAACACTATCTATTAGCTCTCGCTTGGTCCTGCTATGACTTTGTGACGTATCCGTTTGGCATCTTTTCTTCCTCAATCATCTCTCGATTCAATACGGACAATACCTTGACCGAAAATATAGGCTACGGAGTAAGCTCTCTCTCTTGGCCCCGTTGCCTCCTTCCTCTTTCGCAGTGGGAAACCCTTCAAAAACGCTAAGCACCCTTTCCTCAGCCCGTGGTGAACTGCTTCTACCTCCCTGGCCGCATAGTCGGCGGCCTACTTAGGGACTGCATAGGCCGCAAACAGACAATGACCCTCGGCTTCTTCTGCTGGGGCATCCTCGGCGGCGCGCTCGGGCCCATCCAGACTGTCTTCCCCCTCTTCGTCGTCCTCTACGGCACCTTCAACTCCTTCGGAGAAATGGCCCCTGGCGTAGCCACTTTCCTCACAGCTTCGGAATCTTCCCCGACGCCTCTGCGCGGCCATTTCATGGGCTTCGCTGCTGCGGTGGGGAAAGCGGATGCGGCGATTGGAACGCAGGTGTTTACGCCCATTCAAGATAGCTTGGGCAGTGGACAGAAGGGGCAGCAGAGGGTTTTCTTGATCGGGTGTGCGTTCGCTATCGTGGGGGGCATGATTGCGTGGGTGGTCATTCCTGATGTTGGAAGGGATTTAGAAGGGGAGGATGTGAGGTTCAGGTGGTATTTGGAAGAGAATGGCTTTGCCACGAGTGGGGTGGGTGGGGAGTATCTGACTGAGCAGGTGAAGGATATGACGTTCAAGCTGGACGAATGATTGGGTATCGAGGACTTCTAGAAGAGCTCATTCGATCGGATTGCTAATGGCTCGTCAGTCAGTCGCTATGATGTCTCAGTCTTACCATCCAGTGTTGAGCTATGCAAGTAGAGTCCAGGGCTTGACCAAGAACGAGGGTTCATTCATCGCACAAACTCAAGCCCTGACACTCAGCATACGGCTTCAAGCTCTGTTCTCTATGAGACATAATTTTGCCACAGCCATGACTATCTTCTGGATGACTTGCATTTTCGTCGTAATAATGGCTGTCAGCCCACACTTTGATACTTGATGAGGGTAGGTTGTAGCATCGTCTTGGCATCGACCTCGTCGCGGTGACGCGTTGAGTGATGTCACAGCTCATCTCAGTTGTTGGTGAGGTGAAACTTTGCAGTTTGGGCAAACACCCAAAACCACCACCACCCACCATAATCCTTTGTCCAACAAAGCCAGACCGCATCACCGGCGCAGAACGGCCATAAGAGCGATCATTGTTACATTGTCTACGGGGCAGCACGTGAAAAGTGGTCTCTGTGGTTGGTGGCTTTGTTGAAGGTGAGACTCAAATTGAAACCTCACTTCCATTCCGCGTCATTCTATTAGCGCGCTTTGTTGACCTCAATACTCCAGCGGCATCAAACATCAAAAACCGCAACTTCCACCAGATTCAAGCTGATCATCATTCCACAACCGCTCTTCTCTGGCCAAATATGGAAACCCCAATACTCTCACCTTGAATCTTGTCACTCCACTGTCGAGACTCTCATCCTCAAACCATGGCGAAGAGCTCAACTTTGCTCGCCTTGCTCGAGGCGGAAAATGAGCCCACGCCAAAGTTCTACAACGAAGCCGTCGGCGACACCATGAAAAACCCTAAACAGATCAGCTACCTGGCAGAAGACAGCGTTCGAGACGGTGTCTCCATACTGCTTACAACCCACAGCCACCGCTTGGCCCACTTTTTCTCCTGCCTACGCTCCTTTGTGCGACCAATGGCCAAATCTCTGACTGCAAGCAATATTGCGGCGGAGACGGTCATCTTGCTAGTTTGCATGCTCCCTAACCTTTACCAGCTCCTGGAGCCTACAGAGGCCCTAAAACTTCTGGTTCCTGCTCTTGATATTTGCTTTGGTTCAATCCAGCGTCCGGAACTACGAGAACTGGCCTCAGTGCTTGCCGAAGCTGGCTCGTTGTTGGAACACTTATCCTCTGATCGCCTCGGCAGTGAGATTCTACGACAATGGGCTTGCACACCAGGCCCGCTCACCCTCGACGCTCAGACCCTTGAGACATGGACCCAAAGATTCATCAATATGGTCTGTTCTTGTAGGAAAGACCATGACGTTGCGCAGGCAATTCAGCAATTGAGCAGCTTGAAAGATCTCAAAACCTCCCTTCAGAGCATAAAAACCCATACAAAGCATTCTAAAGACGGCTCCAACGGCTCATCACTGGTGGCTCGACACAAGCTTTTGCCGCTTGGCAAAATGACCCAACTTAGCAAGGAAGACAAGAAAACTCGTCTCGCCACGCGCCAAAACTTTAACAGCTCTCTCCCGCCTACTCCTGACCACGTCAAGGATTCCTTGAAAGCTTTCGATCTACAAATCCCAGGCTCGATAGACTCGCTCATAGACGTCATCAAGCGCCTTGAGGGCGACAAGACCACTGCAGTTTTGCTCTCGATTGCAACAAATTTTCCGTGCAATCTTTGCATTCTCGGGCTTGAATCTTTACGGGAAGCTCCGGATACAGGGAAAGATGAGCAAAGCATCGGAGCTGTGCCTAACCTGCAGATCGAGATACCAGATAGGACAGTCAGACATTGGAAGGTACTCCTGTCAAGACAAGCGCTTCGAAGTCTGTTGCATTTGGGTAGCCACGGTTAGCTTCCTTCCCCCAGAGCTTGTGCCATACTTTGGCTGATGGTTGATTTAGGTCTCGCCCGTCTAGCGACGGAGAAGCTGGAAGCAATGGAATCTGGCAACTGGGAGCCTCCAGGTAGACTGGGTGCCGCATCAAAATCGCAATCAACAAGCCTCAAGGTGCCCCTTGGTAGCACTCGTTTTGGGCAGGATCACTGGATCCTGTGGCAGATTGACATCGAATTCGATGAAGATATGGAGGCATTGCAGCAGACGATAAAAGGTCAGCTATTGTCCCATGAGATTTAATGAAGTGCTAAATGTTTGCAGTGTGGGAAGTGTGCAAAGGATCTGACGTTCGTTGAGTCCGGTCGCATCGTCGATCCACAAGTGCCTACCAGTACTCAAACTTGTACTGACGCTTCTCAGGTCTCGAAAATCATTGATCGAGTCATATTTGTCCAACGAAGCTATTCGGATGAGACTGTCAGTCGCTGCCACCTACACTCTTCTGACCATGACGGGAAGCAAATTCCGGCGCCACTTGACGACTCTACTCTACCATGCGGAAATCCAGCTAAACAAATAGTCGACCAGGACATCAGGATTGTAGATCAAGATACCATTGATATGACTAGTAGGTCGACCTGTCCTCGCGATCGCGTGCACACAGCCACTGACTCATTGTCAGACAAATTCTACGCTCTGACGGAGCCTGTCAAGCGCTCCATCCTTTCCAGTGATCCATCCGCCGAGTTCCCTTTCGAGATATCTAAGGAGGAAGCCCGAGTGATTAGCCACGTCCAGACAGCAAGCCTCATCCTAGGCCGCAGCGGAACGGGAAAGACGACGTGCCTAGTGTACAAATTAGTCAGGAAGTATTTGGCTAGCAGGGCAATACTAGGTGAAAATCCGGTTCGACAGGTTAGCTACAGAATTTTCGGCATGGTGGGTTGACCGACTGACTGGGAGTAGGTGCTCCTCACACGATCTAGCTTTCTAGCAGAAATACTAAGATCCCACGCACGAATCCTAATGAAGAGCCTGTCCTCCAAGTCTTTCACCCTAGAGTCGTCTCAGCAGGACGCACATCCTGTCTCGATGATAGGCGAAGAGGGTTCTGAAAAGGATAGCGTACTAACTCTGAGAGACGAATCATTTCCTCTGGTCTACACATGGGATCATTTTCTACGAGTTCTCGAAAATACGACGAGGATATGGCATCGTCAGGATTTTCCCGAGTTGACAGGCCAAATCGTCGAATTCTACACCTTCAAAGTGGAATACTGGCCTCGATTCTCGCAAACCCTCACAAAGGAAGTTTCAGTCAGTCTCGTTTTTGCCGAAATCATGGGTGTAATCAAGGGTTCGGCTTCGTCGGCGGAAACTCTTGCACCTCTCCGGCGTAAAGAATACTTGACGCGAAGCTGCCGCATGGCGCCCACCTTTGCAATGGAAGCCGAGCGATCTCATGTATATGACCTTTTCGAATCGTATGAAGCTCTGAAGGTCCGTAAGGGAGACATGGACTATGTTGACCGTGTTGTGAGACTACTAAGGGCAGTGCGTCAAGATCCTTCACTGACGAAACAACTGCGATCTACATTCGAAGAAGTCTACATTGATGAGATCCAAGATCAGCGATGTCTAGATATCGAACTTCTCTTGAGCATTGTCAAAGACCCACGCGGTTTCCATTTTGCGGCGACACCGCGCAGGCCATATCTCAAGACTCCACAATTAGATTCTCAGACATCAAAGGAATGTTTTTCCAGCACTTTGCTGCAGTCAGCACATCTACAAGACAAAGCGATCTTGCGCGCCCTGAGCTATTCACGCTCTCCAAGAACTACCGTTCCCACCAGGGAATCCTGTCACTCGCTTCATTCGTGATGAGGATGATATGGCAAGGCTTTCCGGAAACAGTCGATAAATTGGAGCCAGAGATCGGGAACCTTAGCGGACCGAAACCTGTACTATTCATCGGTGTCGACTTCAGTATCCTCAGTTCGAGTCGTGTTGGTCACACAACACTTTCGGCAGGGACTGCCGACTTTGGCGCTGAGCAAGCCATCCTCGTCCGCGACACGAAAATGAAGACAGCTCTTCAAAACCACATTGGCGACGTGGCCCTAATCTTCACAATTCTTGAGAGCAAGGGAATGGAATTTAACGATGTGATAACTTGGAACCTTCTCACAGACTGCCCAGATCAGGCAGGACTGAGGAGCCTGGAGACCTTGAAGAATGAGCCAGCAAAATTCGACCCGAAAAAGCATGCGGGCATGTGTCCAGAACTAAAAAACCTGTACGTCGCAGTCACGAGAGCTCGTAATCAGCTTTTCATGGTTGAGGGTTCCGAAACAACAGCGGCATCGGTTTTGAAGCTGCTCGCCCATGCTTCCTCGAAACCGCTTGTTGAAGTGACACGACCCGGGCAAGAAGACTTCGCGATGAGACTTGATTCACTGCGGCCAGATTCATCGGTCGATCCTGTGGGATGGCGCCGAAGGGGCGATGAGTGTATGCGTAAGCAAATGTACAAACGCGCACTCATGTGCTTCCGCAAGGCAGGAAATGAACATGGAGAGGCAGTTGCACAAGGCTACATATCGGAAAAAGACGCAACATCTTACGATCCCGACACTGATCCCGAAGAGTTCACTCGCCATCTTGGAGTTGCAGTTGAGCATTTCCTGAAGGCAGGTTTCATTGAAGAAGCAGCCAGAGTTCTCATAAGATTGAAAAAGCTTGAAGATGCGGCAAAATTGTGGGCCCAGCACGATGACCACGGGAAGGCTGCGCGTCTTTATGCCAAAGCTACTCTCTACATGAAGGCTTTTGACAGTCATCACAGCGCTCGGGAGTACAGTGAAGCTGCTGCAATGCTACGAAAAGAGAGAAAGTACGATCTATTGGTTTCCTACCTGGACGATAACCACGGAAACATTCCCGCCAACACATTCCGAGGCCACAGCCTCCTGTGCAAGCTCTTACTCAAGCAGAACAGAATTTCACCTGAATACCGCAAACATGCGATCAACGTTCTCGGATCTTTGGCTGAGCAAGAAGCATGCTTCATTGAGTACCGAATGGACGAACAGCTTGCGAACCTATATATTAGTCAACAGAGGCACAGAGATCTCTTCCATCACTATTCAAGAAAGGGAAAGCTGGAGCGAGCGCTCAACCTTGCAATAACAGAGAATCTGTTGCAATCCACCGCCGATGGTCTGGAACCCGGGGTGCTAAGGTTGATAGATTATCTCTGGGCCGGTCACCTGGAGAAATATTCCCAGCAGCACTCTGCAGCGTCTCTGAAGTTGCCGTCAGGATTTCTCACGCCCAATGTCGTACTCAGAGCCGAGCAATGGGAGACCAGTAATCTCGTCTATAACGTGGAAGCCTCCATCGCTCATCAGCATGTTGCCAGTATAGAGAGTACAGTACCAAAACAAGTCTTGTGTCTTCGAAAGATTCTCGACGCTACAGCCATCACCCGGATAGCCAATCTGGATGACTTGCCCTTCGAAATGATGCAAGAGGCTATCAAGTTCGCCAGGGATCTGACTCTCGACAATAATAGCGACGCGCTGAAAACAGTGCTGCTTCTTACCGGCCTATGGAAGCCAAGAAATGGCCAAGAAGGTTCCATCACTTTACCGTGGTCGCCCCTCCGAGAGACTTTGACCCTTGTCAGCAATGATGACCCCACCAAAGTCGCGAAGCAATGGGTTCTCGACCGCCTGGTGTCAGCAATCTTAGCGTTAGACGTGAAGGCGAGACATTTGTGGAAGAAGAAGTGGCCAAAAGGCTGTGTGCAGTTCATGACAGTAGGATTCTGCCCTAAAAATCGAAAAGGGGAAAAATGCGACTGGCCACATCGCACTGTCAGTGCAGGCGATTGTTCTGGAATGCTTGATGACTTGTTACGGGTGAATACTATCTTCTGTGACTCGGCAGTACTCTACTATCGTCGATCCATGAATGGGATATTCCGAGAAAAGTACATGGGTATCAAACGCCATTGGCTAGAACGACTTCTTCGGGAGCTTACCCATCTCTCCTCTGTGGAACAAAACACTTCAGCCATCATGAGGACGCAGGCGGAGCTCTTTTGTGATAAGAGATTCATTGCTGTATCTTCTTTTCTCGAAGAGTTGCTCTACTTCCGCCTTGGGAATGAGTGGAAGCAGAGGAGCGATTTTACCTCTTTGCTCGAACAGATGCAACTTGCCAAAGCTTTTGGTTCAAGTGTGCAAAACCGTCTTTTCCGAGCTTTGTCACACAGACTGCTCATTGACCAGAGAGATCTTCTACAACGTCACTTAGTTCTTTGTAACTCACTCAAAGAGAACATCGGCCGCTGGAACGCTTCAATGTTTCAAAACAACCTCATGACCTTCCTTGGCAATCTTGACAACATTGAGGTTCCTGCATTATCAACCCTCCATTCATTGACTTCCATATTCGAGTACTTGGCGACTTACCTGATACTGAAGACGTGCGTCACAGCATGTGCGATTCCCAACTCGTGGATTGACCTGCACGTTGCATCGATCGGCAAGACCTTCCATACGCTCGAGCCGCTGCAAGAGGACGACAAGCACAGATACCAGCAATGCCTTATCCAATCAACAAAGAGCTTCTGTCATATCCTCAACCGGCTGAATCAAGCTGCCCCGTCAAAGGATTTCCTATTGTGCAGCGGTAACACCCACCCATCATTGCTATTACGGCAACGCAATGCGGAATTAGTCGCCATTGCAGTAGCCAATTTGGCAGCCACGTCTCGCGAACGGCCGAATGGTTTCAATGATGTATGGGCCGAAGCTAAAAAGGTTCGCTCCTCAGAGACTAATTTTTGGTCTCGGCAAGTGCTGACGCTTGCGAACCAGGTCTTTGAATTTGACTTCATTAAAGCTTTTCACCTGAGAAGCCGCAACCCTGATGACCTCACCCAAAAGCTCGTACCTTCATTCGCAAAATACAACGGGAAAGACGCTCTTGTGGTGGTAACCAAGGATCGAAAGAAAGTTTCCGTCTTCACCAATCTTGAGCACCAGCTCGGCGTAAGGACCGTCCCATTCGACCAAGTGTGTCCGCGAACACCGCCTCCTGCAGCTACCCACGGTTCCGCCAACACTCCTCCTTCCGCGTGCACGGATAATCCACAGGAGGAGTATACATCAGCAGAGATGGAAGCAATTATCAAGACTCAACGCTTGTGGAGGTCTTGCTCCCGCAAAATCAAGAACCGCCGCTCTTACATGCAACTTCCCGAGGCCCGTGCTATCGCACACTTCATCTTCCTGGGCGCTGGACTACCGGGCACGCTCGCCTTCATAGATGGAGTTGCCTTCCGACATGTACTGATCTCACGGGGTATGGCAATGTCATTGAAACTGGCGGTAGCGCATGACACGCTGTCTAAATTACAGCAAGACGCAATGACATGCATCGAGAAAATGGAAATAAGTACTGGGTCGTTCGAATCTGTGGATGACATTTTACATCGGAACAGTCGCGTCGAGATCTTGTTGAGAAAAGCTGACGAGAAGACGTCTGATGAGTGCATAGCGGGAGTGGTGAAGCTGGGCGCACTATCTGTGTTGGAGGAGGAAATGAAGGGTATTGAAGAAATTGTCGCGGAAGCTGAGCAAGATATGTTGGAGACGAGGGAGATGGTAGACAAGGTGTCCTGAGATTGTACTAGGAGTCGCGACGGTCCGACCGACGCTGTGAAAGATGAAGTGTGACTGTACTTCAGCATGAGCCATGTTTGATAGTGTATGAACGAGGCCGCAGCGACGATGTCTTTCGCTTTAAGATTTGAAAAGTGCATTCGCTACACGGTATACAGCCCTTTCAATGCGCTTTCCTAAGGTGAATTGAGCGGTGTGAGACTATGGGCTTTTTGAATAGTGAACGGGAATGGGATACTACCAACAAACAAGAGGTGCAGGGAAAAATCTATCAGTGAGCTTTCTGAGTTCCTTTCGGTCAATCATCCGGGCACCAGCCAACTTTACACGTACGAATGTTCACCCAATTGCCGATCGCGCAGCTTCTCAAAAGTCATCTCTTATCTTCACCGTTAGCTTGTTTCGTAACGGATTCCATGTTGATGCGCCCATGCGCAACCTCTTCCGAACCGCAACGCAGACATAGCCGCGTTTCATGCCTTCAAATCCGCAGATCCCTAGATAAGAGGACGGACGCAGCCGTTGTGAGACTTATATACGTTGTGCTGTTTTCGTTCCTTTTCCAATCCATCTCAAGGCTCTTCAACTCGCTCATTTCTTTCAATCCCACCCTTCGTCTTCTGATCTCCTTGGAACCACTCACGCACAAATACACAAAATTCAAGCTTTTCAAACTTCAAAATGCGGCACGTCCTAACCCTCTTCTCGATACTCCTCGCTTTCTCCGCCTTTGGCAACGCATCACGTTTTGCGCCCGCTCAACGATCAAGATTCGGTCCCCGAAAAAGTTGCCCAGCTACTTATACATCGGAAACAATCGACGGAGAACAACACTGCGTCGCACCACGCGCCGAAGATTACAGAAGGGAAATCGTCAACGGAGTACCACCAGAAGGCGTCCGTCCCAACCCCTCCAGAAACCCAGCCCAACAATCCGCCGTCGCAGCCGAAAGAGCCACAGTCAGCGCTACCGATGCCATAGTAATCTCTCAAAACAACCAAGGCATCAGCGCCGGCGCCGTCGTCCCGGCAAACCCCGACCCCTGCGGCCCTCCGACCGGCCAGGCGCCGGGTGTTGCGGGCTCCCTGTCGACGTGCCATGCGAATGTCAGCGTGGCGGATTTGGCTCAGCCGAGCTATTATGGCGTGCAGTGCACGAATGACAATTCGGGGTTTACACTCGAGCAGGGGACTTGCTTGGATTCTTTGCTCACGGTATGCGATCAGATTTCGGGCCAGTGGGGGGTGCAGTATCAGGATACCGATACGTGGATTTGGTCGACGGAGGATGGGAACTGTACGTTTGGGTATTGGTGGGTGTTCTCGATTTTCTTAGGAGCACTGGCTCTTGATGCTGTTTTCACGACCCAACCTCCGCCTTTCAGGAGAATCCTACTGATGGTGAGGATATCAATAGGTTGCCCAAAGGTGGTGCACCGCCTCCATCAGACGGAAGATGCCAAGAGCAGATCACCAGCGTCATTAGCCAGTCTTGCGCGGGACCTGTGTTCAATGCTGGAGGGGTCAATGTAAAAGAATTTCCCAGCGCCGGCGCGTCTAATACTTCGTCGACGGGGTTGCCGGTGGATCCCATGTATCCGAGTTATGTCATGATGCCGTTCAAGAGCTATTGCGGGATTAACGTCATGGATGATTGCTGAGTGGGTGGAGTTGGGCGATCATGTGAAGGCGGTGCTTGTGTGTGTAGATGGGTGGCAAAGTGAACTTAGATGCGTGGTTGGTATGTGAAGAGATTGTCTTTCTGGGCGAGATTGGAAAGTACAAAGTTCTCCTTTCCATGCAATTTTGGGCGCAATATTCAAGTATATCAGATGGTTGGGGTGAGAATAAGTAAATGGTGATTCAGAATGGCAGCGACGGAACAGGGCACCAAGGAGCAAATGTACTTCCTCGATAGGTGCGGAAAGGAGAATGCCGTTTTGTTTTGGCAGGCTCTTCGCCGTCCTCAACAGCACGTGAAGAGACACCTTGTACAACGTAGCTCTGGAGGCATTGTTGTAAATATCTGGGTTGCCATACCGGCAACTACACTTACCACTTAAGGCTTTCCTTGCCACTGAGTCTTCGAATCAATTGTCTTCCAGCTTTCCAGGGGCAAAGGTAACTGCCATTTCACTTGCAAGGTTCGGCCTCACATTTTTCTTGCGTAGGCTTTACGGGGTGGTATTTGAGACGAAGCGGCGATGGGCTCTGAGATGCAGCCGTGGAAGACTTGGTACTTGCTGAGAACTGGGATTTGCGTTGGCGAGAGCGAGAGAGAGAAAGAGAGAGAGAGAGGAAAGTGAAAGGATTGTGCCGGGTAAGAATAGAAATTTCAAGCCTGGCCAAAGTCCGCTCAATGTTCATCTCCGTTACTCAGCGCTGCTGCAGGATATTGTATAGTGTACTTGTTTGAGCCGTTAAAGCTACCGTGGGGGAGTTGGTTGGGTAGGAGGTTTGGGTCGCATTGCCTGAGACCAATTAGGAGTGTGATTTCTGTGACTGCTAACAGATCTAAATTACGGTGTTGTAACAAATAGCAAATCTCAAGCGCAGGTTCGTAAGCCGTAAGCCAAATGGCGGATGTGAACATGAAAGACATCCAATACTGTAATGACGGTTCCCTGCCCTGTTTCCATAGTCGGACCCATGATAGAACGAAAGAGTGCTTGTATCCCCCAAGCGTTCTTCTCCCCGCTTTCCCTTCCATGGGCGCACCATTTCTTCCTTCCATGAGCCCGGTCGCCATCTCCTGCTCACACTTTCACTCGCTCTTCTGCTCTTTCGCCAACTTGGGCAGCGTCCCATACACCCTATTCGGCTTGATAGGGGTCCCTCTCACATCCTTCTCGTCCACATTGCCGAACACGAGTTCCAAGTGCTCGCCGTCCCCCTCGTCATCGCGAATCGCTAAGACGCGAACTGGGAGTTTGAAGATATTCAGTTCCATGATACCAGCGCAGGTGTTCTTCAGGAGGGTGGTGGGGGTGGAGTTCATGGCTAGTGCTGTCACTTCGCCAATGGAGTCCCAGCAGGTGGAAGAGATACCTAAGTAGTCAGTATTAGAATACAATGCCAGGGTATGAGGGGGCTCTTACCAGAGATTCCGGCATATAAGATGTGGCTGAGAGCAGTGATACAATAGGCAAGTAGAAAGGAGATCGCAACTTTCGGCGATGCACCACGGATGTTGTAGGCATAACCATTGACCGTAGAGTCGACGCGGAGCTTCACCCAGTCCTTGCTTTCCTCTGGATCGACGGTGAATACGTCCCCCTTACCGGAGAACCAGTAATCTCCAGCCCATTCGCTTGACCCGTCAGATTTCACGACCGTTTTGAGATTTCCCTGAAGTGTACTGGTAGCGCCGATGCTTGCGAGACCGTTGGCCAGAAGCCCAGCCAAGGCCCATTTTGCTGTTCCGATTTGTTCTTCGGAACTCAGCTCTCCGACAGGCGCATGCGTAGACATAAGAGTATCAATCACAGTTGTATTCAAAGCTGGAATGAAGGGATTCAGATAGTTTGCCCAGACCTCGGTAACGATGATTGGCTTCTCAGGAAAGAAAGGTAGATTAAATTGGCTGACTATGGTCTTGGCCAGTGACTCGGCTCGGGGTGGTCTTTCGTAATAAGGACTGCTCTGATTCGCTTCAGGTGGGTTTTCATATTGTTCGATGGCAGACAGGTCAACAACACTGGTCGTGAAAGTGGTACCGCCAGCGAATGACGAGGTATTTATGATGGAAGAACCCCAGCCGGCGCCGAGGTTGCAAACTAAAAACTCCTGTGTCGAATTCAAGGTTGACCGAGGAAGTAAAATGACAGCCCCGATTGCAGAGCCATTGAAAGGATCTTGCGGTAACTCGACCCATCTGAGCCGACTTTCTTCGAGGGAACCAGGGGTGCCAAGGATTTGATTCTTTGTAATGCCAGGGTACACGAACGAGTAGACGTCTAGTATTGAGTCATTGTATTCGGTCCGATTCAACATCGAATCCGCTGGTGGAACTGGAAAAGCAACTGCGCTATCATCATGTGGACCATGGATGACGTCGGTTGCACATGAGGCTATTGTATAAGGTTGATAGTAGCCATTTTTGATGGTGTGCACTGCATCTAGTTGTTGTAATACGCTGCCGTGTCCTCTCGTGGAGATATTAGCTATAAAAGTGGTCCAGAGGTTTCCTGTTTCCGTTAAGGCATCTGCAATCACTGATTGCTGTGTGGTTCCAACGATAGGGTCTGGATCATAACCCTCTTGTACAGAAATCACCGTGTCGAGCACAAGGTGGCGCAGCGAACCATGGCCTGTCACTTCTACCCACTCAGGGAGACCGACGACTTCAATCAAAGCCAGATACTTCGGGTCTAGAGTGTTCATTGTAGTGTAAATGAAGTCCTGAACAGCTTCCCATCCATGCGAAGGACATGCAAAAGTGTAAATATCCGAGGTATTTGCGTTCAGGCATTGCATTGGCAGTTCCGATGCGTTAGTGCTAAGAGATGATCAGTATCAATAATACATGTATCGAGATCAAGAAAGGAATTTGCCAACCGAGCTGGCCAAAGGCTATCAGAGGTAATATTAATCCAGATGTTAGTACTTCCAGCTGGCCAGTAATCCAATCTGGGGACAAGAAGGATAGCACTTGACGGTCCGGCAACAGCGGCAAGAAAGACTGATGCAGTAACCACGACCAACAGACGTAATTTGCTTTTCAAAGAGATATTCTTCGAGCGAACGGTGCCCCAGAACTCCATAGACCAGAGGTAACTAGCTTGCGAGACTTGAAGGCCGGAGAAAAGTGCTCCGAATGGTATACCGTCCCCAAGCATCAACTCGTATCTCACGTACGAGAAGATGACAGCGGATAGCGACGCCTCGATAGCTATTTCGTGTATTTTAGCTCCAAACTGATAGTAAGCCTGATTGTAGATAGCATATCCCACGAAGTAGGTGTTCCAGTTCAACACGATCTCCCACAAGGCCACACCCACCGGGACGATATGGATCAGAGCTCGCAGTAAAGCTGCCGTCCGACTCCTACGTATGGCGATCTTGGTCGGCTCGGTGTATCCTTTTCCTACTGCTTTGTGACGCAGAAACACAAAGAAAGAAAATATGACATTGAGACCTAGAGCTCGGCATAGTGTCTGACTGCTGTCCTGTAGCAGCTTTCTGGGACGTTTCATGACTTGGGAGAGAGCCATTGAGAAAGTTACCAGGGAGGAAAAGAGAGTGATCCCCCTATATAAGGCTTCAGCAAGTTGGCGTAACAGGTGAGAGAATACTCCAGAGCAACACACCGATCAAGTAAAGTCTGGCTGTGGCTTTTCGCTCAAGGGTTCACCCTTTGAGAGAACCTTTGAGGAAACCAAACGAATACTTTCCCTAGATAGAGGGAGCAGAGATTTTGACAAGGTTAAGGGTTCATGGGACTGGTGCATAGCGAGTCTTATAGACATTGTTGGCGGAGCCAGACGCTCTCTGGCCCATTGTCTTTCCCACCACACTCTATCAACCGGGACACTCTGAGACACCAGTTGTATTGGCAAAAGTATCCATGGGGCATACAATTCGGAGATGGGCTCTGCAGTTGCGCAGAGGAGTTTCAGCCCCGCATGGTCGGGCGTCAGGACTCCACCTTAGGCGTGACAGAGTAGAAGTGTACCTTTTAACGCAGTCGGTGACCCTCCACGTTCAAATCTTGCATTTGGTCAACATGTGGATGGGTTGTGTGACAAAATTGTAGGAAAAAGCAACAACCGTCAACTATATTGCATGAAATGGGAAGAATTGCGTACGCATGTAGGCGTGGTGGAATATCGACGTGCATTGTCGGCACAGATGAGTAGAAGCGCAGCGTAATCCGCGATAGATGCCACGGAGCAGTATACCCTGCCGAGTTATCAATTTGAGGCGTACAGCGAGCTGGCATCTTGCAGGGTGCGGGATGCGATGTTCCCAAAGCTTGCAACGATAAAGCAAGAGTAAGAGGCAATGTTTAATGCAGAAGAAGTGGCGTCTAATTAAAGGAGAAAAAGGGTGATATGCAACCCTCAGCCCACATTGAAGCGTTTCTATTATTGATAGCAAATCTCTCGATTCTCTGGATGGGAGGAATGAGGCTGTGGACTATGCATGCAGCTTAGATACGCTGGCAAAGGATATTTGTTGCTCTAAGAATAGTGGGGGATGCTGCATGACAGCGCTAGTGTCGATGGGGAAATTGCCAGAAAGAGCTCAATTGGTCCGCGTCTGTCAGCCAATTGGTGAGGCTGCATGAGCGCCAAAAGGGTTTCTCGCTGAGACGTGGCAACTTACGAGCTGGTGGTCCTTGAGGACCATAAGAAAAGTGGGTCTCTGTGATCTGACATTCTCGGAATCCTGCCTATGCAAACGTGGACGGACAACGGATTGATTTCAGGACAATGCATTAACCAAATTGTAGCTTTTCTCAATAAGGCTTCGAAGGCTTAGACCTTGAATACAAGGGTTTCAAGCGTCCGATCTCACCTATCTAATGGACGAGATTGTCGTGAAGTCTAAGCTAGAGGGAGCCGTTTACTTGCTCATTCGACGATCATAGCCTAGCGGACACGTAAACTTGTTCTCATCAGATGGGCATTTCCTTCGGCATCTAGACTAGCACCGTTGGAAATAAGGCGCTCCACGATCATCTTATTCTCAGACTTGCAAGCCGTGCAAAGGGCGCATCCGGTGCGTATGATCTTCGTGTGAGGATCGGCTCCCGCATCGAGCGAGGCAGCAACAATTGCTGCATCGCCTATTCTCGAGCCCTTCAGCCATGGCCGCGAAAGCTTAATCTCATTCACCGTAATCTGAAAGAGATGAGTAGCACGCCCAGGCTCAGGGGAAAGGAAGTCACTTCTAACAAAAACCGAACGCCAGCCCACGGTAAAGCTGCGTGGCCTGGGTTGCACTGCATAGCTATGTCGTTTATATATTTGGATCTTTGAGCCCAAGATATGGTCTTCTCGGAGATGTCGCGAAAAATAATCGCTTCTCCGTTCTGCTTCTTGTACTTCCAGCGCTTCCGCAGACAGAGAGCTTTTTTTCCCCTGTGCGACCCTTGAAGCAGCAATCACGATGTAGTATTTGCTTGAGTTACTAAAATTAAGAGTCGTCTTGATATCGTCATCAAGCTGGGCAAGAGCCTTGTCCCAGAGACTCCAAGAGCCTGGCGTGATGGCCGGGCACTGGGGAGGCCTGACGGAACAGACATGAGGTGCGTGGATTTTAGAGGATGCAATCAAAAGTCGACGAGCATTGATGCATATCACCCAAGACGAACGTGCTTATAGATAATTCGTGATGAAGTACAATCAAGGCCACGATTGTTGTAGAGAAGGCGGATCTGACTCAGCCGGTCAAGATATTGGGGCCGGTCTTTAGCGCGTGCAAAAGGGACTGCAAAGTTTCTCGCGCTAATTGAGCCGCTGGTGAGGTGAGGGCGACCTGCGCCTCTGCCCATTTCTGCCCATTTCCGCCTATCTTCGCCTATAGGTAGCATGAGCAGAATGAACGCCCGGATAATACGCGAAATTCTTGCATCAGACAGTCTACATGATATCCCATTTCGATACTGCCCCCAGGATCGCATCCGGATGCTTTTTGCAAGTTCCCGTCAAACGATAATGCATAGCAAACTGACTTCGTGGAGAGCTTGCTGAATCAAACATCCCGTGGTAACTTATCGTTTCTTGAATATCTGTGGAGTGGCCCACCCTTTTATTAACTTGCACGTGAAGGCTTTTGTCCAAGCTGATCTACCGAAGTCTCCTCCGCTTTGGGTCAAAGTTGACTGTCTCAGGACCTTCAACAAGCATGGAAGTCTCCAGCGCCTCACATCAACAACGCCCCTTCCCCTTTATGTCCCTACCTTTGGAGCTCCGCCGGAAGGTCTACTACTTTGCAGTCAGTAGGACACGTCCAATTAAGCTTAGGATCAATTACCACGGACTTGCTACCACCGATAGCTTAGGTCCAGGCCGGGTCAGAATGTACACTAACCAGGACTTCCGAATGCTGGAAACCAATATTGAGTTCCGCAAAGAGTTGAGCGACGCACTGTACGCCAAGAGTACCTTCGATCTTTCTCTGTGGTGGCAGGAGACCGAGAAAGGAACTAGATTGTTCCAGATTGATCCTAGACGAATCAGGATCTGTCGACTCTTCATTCACAACCTGGCAAATACCATCTACACTCCCCACAGAGATGTGTGGGGTGGAGCTTTCCCGCTGTACTGGCACCATCATCTCCGAGCCTTTGTTGCTACCCTTGTCTTCAATGGGCATCAGATTGAATCCATGTTAGTCGAGTGTGAGGAACAAGATTCGAATTGGCTCCTGGAGTGCCTACGGCCAATGGCTATGCTAAGAAACTTTAACTTGGTACATTTCCGCTCTTGTCGTCGCGAGGTACATCCTTACTTCCGATTTCTCGAAGCCTACATGATGAGCGATCGAGATGTGCCTTTCAGAGATTGGCAAGGATTTCGGAAGCAAACTGAGCCGTGGCGCCCACATTTTCTTTCCGAGGAAGCAAGAAGGGTCCCGCCACCACGAAGTACGGACATGACGGACGAAGGCGTGACGAAATCGAAGGAAGAGATGGAGGCTACGGCGAGGACTCTGTATGCGATACTTCAGATAGAAGATGAGATGAGACCGCAGCAAGACTTGTAGTGTGGTCTTGCTGAATCGTACAGGCGTTTTCTCTGCAACTCTAGTGGCCTAAAACTTAGATGATTTTGCGCATAATCATTCCCTAACCACGATCTTGCTTTATCTCCCAGTCAGTGATGTGTGACCCATTTACTGTGTCACGGTCTGAGAAAATCTGCTTTTCTGTATATGATGATTGCCTCGCTGGATGTAGTCATCTAAAATCAGTCTGTGTCACGTGCGTCGGGAGCCACCTTACGTAGCCATGCTTTTCGTGACTTCTCGTCTCCGGTAATGTCGAGCAAAACGGACAGTTGGTTTGACCCGACGCCACGCAAAACTTCGCAGTCGCCCAGTTGATGCTTCCGTTTTGAGCATCTATATAAGCTCTAGTTCCTTCTGTTGATGATGCTTTGTAGAAGAAGATTGACGTTGAAATTGGTCGGACCAAATCATCTCGGTCTTAATGTCAGAGGGAATTCTTTCAGAACAACCTGCAAGTGTGGATAATCCCTCCGCTTTCGACCGTCAGGGTGTCTTCCGATTCATGTCACTGCCACCGGAGCTTCGCCGAAAGGTTTACTACTTCACAATTGTCGAACCCCATCCTCTACCGCTAATTGCCCGCTATGGCGTTTCAGACCACTACTCCGCATACTATGCTGTAGAAAAGGACTTGCGAATGCTAGAGACTTGCCGCGAGTTCCGTGCAGAGATGAAGAACTTGCCATACTCGGAAAATAGCTTCTCGTTCTCCATTCGACAGTCTGAGCTTGAGAAAGGAACTAAAATGTTCCCGGTAGACCTGACGCGAATTCAGAAATGTTATATCTCTGTTACAGGAATGAAGGGCTCGGGGGGAATCAGCGACGAGGACGACGAGGACGACAAAGCCGTGTTCTGCACCGGTGTTCAGGATATCCAGGACTTTGTGGCTACGCTGGTTTTCAAAGGCCACCAGATGAAGTACCTTTTGGTCGAGTGCGAGCCTCAAGATTGCCATTTTCTGGCGGTGAGCCTCAGTCCATTATCCATGCTGAGGAGGATCCGCTCGGTACGTTTTCGCTCCTGTCGAGCCGAAATGCATCATTACTTTCGTTTCTTGGAAGGTCTCATGATGGGTAGTTGGCCAGTACATTTCAGTGATTTAGTCGATTTCTGGGAGGACTACTCAATGGAGGACGACCTTTTGACACACCCTGAAGAGTCGTGGCTTGTGGAAGGCCGTGATGTGGCGACGAGTGTGGTGGTCAAATCCGAAGCTCAGATGGAAGCTACAGCAAAGGATCTTTACTCAATTCTTGGCATAGAGCACGACTTCATACCCCAAGGCGAGTTGGATGAGACGTGTTCCTTCTGGCACGTTGATAAAGAGAAGCTTTTGGTCACGTAAAGCGGTTGACCCGCATTTCTAGCTTTTGAGGTAACCCATTGACTGGCATGATAAACGAGTCTTTGAACTTTGATTCAATAGGCGCTAGCGTTCCGACCGCGTTAACCGCCACCCTTCCGGGCGGCTATGAGGTTATCCAACTCTGTTCCGTCATTGTGGGCGTATCTATTGGCATATTGAGACAGTCAGACTTTATGTAACACAAAATACTTGCCTCTCCGCATTAAGAAAACATCAGATGCTAAGGCATCACCAGTACACAAAGAATATATACAACAGTAATAGCTCTCCGGCAATCATTGTGATCTTAATCGACGGGTGCCTCCTCGATGCCCAGGAACCACTCCCTGAGTTCTTGGCCACACCCGAAGCGGCTGCATTAGCGTTTATTCCCGGGTACCTACTAGTGCTTGTCCCATCGTTGCCTAGGCGAATACCCGAGGCAGCTAAACTCGCGGAAGATGATGCGGAACCTACCTCCTTTGAGGTCCCAATAGCCACGTTCGCGGAAGCTGAGTCATCTGTGGGTGCAGTCCTGCTAAGAGAAACTACAATGGCATCAGAGTATGTGCTTGGCAGAACATTGGCAGAGTGCTGATGTGAGAGGTAATGATCATCTGCAAAGGCCGGCTTTGCTATTACGTCATCGTCATTCTGATTGTCCCCAGATGGTGGGTACTCTAAATCTTCTGGTTGAGATGACGGGTCGTGTTCTGAACCATTTTTTGTGGAATACTGTCCATCATCAGACTTTGCACTTGGTGAGAGAGCTTCGTCGATGTTGGACGAATTTGTGGGAATGACATCGAAGGGGTCGAGCTCAAGGTCTGGACCTTTGACCATTGAAACATCACCGTCGTTAGCTTCGGATTCTGCGGCTGGCGACTTGTTGGGGCGAGACATTGCGGAATCTTGTCCGTGAGAATTCAACTGCTTCGATTGACCCATGAAAGAGTCCGGGATATTGGTATCAGGGTCTGCTACTTCTTTCCCCTGCGCGTTTGAGCTTGAAACGTCTATTCCAGTTGCGTCGAAGACAGTGGGGGTATAAGCATTTGGTTGAGAATTCTCAGAATATTCGTTGCTCGAGTCAGCATTATTCGAAGAAGTGTCTGGAACGTTTTGCTGAGAGCGGTCTGGGCTTGAAGTGTCGGCCTTTGGGTCATCCGGATTCGAGACTTGGGGAGTAGAGCTTTGAGCCCCTTGGGGCTCATCATGACCATCTAGTACTTGAGGGTCGATTTCTTGCGAGTCCGATGGTGGTGCTTTGGCCTGCTTTGGATCAAGATTTTCGGGCTTTGGTGAATCTGGCTTAGACGCATCGACGGGAGTAGTTTCGGGCTCAGGGGCGCTAGATTTCATAGCCTGCAGATCTGCATTGTTCGAATTTGATTTGTGTATGTCGAAATCTTCGGAGTCTACGGCTTTAGGGTCTGTGATTTTCGGGTCTACTTGGTTTAGACCTGGACTTGAGGGATCTTCAACTTCAGAGCCACTCTCGCTCGTGCCAGGGTCTGATGGAGTAGATATTTTCTTATCATCTGGTGTAGAGGGATTTGGTGTCTTGCTTGGCTCATTCGCCCGAACGCCCGATGCCGGAGCAGCCACAGCAGTCACTGAGGCCGTGGGTTGGACTCGAGTAACCCGGGGAGTGAGAATTTCCGCGGGCTTTAAAGTTCTTGGTGGGTCAACACCATTGAACAAGGCTGCTGGTATGATGCAACCGGATTTCGACCACTCAGGCAGAAGAGAGCTAAGACGGCGCGGTGGGGAGAGAACAGGCCGGTAGGGTTCCCCAGGAGCAGGCTTGTACTCCACAGCGTACTAAAGCCTTGAATTAGGAAATTTCTTAGCCTGTTGGGGTGTTGAAACTCACCATTACGCTTTGGGGCGGGCATGGGAGATCTGCAAAATTGAACGATCTGATTGCTGCTTTTGGTGGAACATCTGCTCGTACCCAAGCTGGGATCTGAATGGTGGAAAGCTCTTCCGGCGCAAATGCAACTATAGTATATGGGATCAGCTCACCGTCAGTTGACAGTGCACCACATGCATCGGCCGCGTAAAGGTCGCTGAATCCGACGCAAACGGATGGAGAGGTACTAAAGAATTAGTCAACATATCTACCATGGTTCAGAAAGAATTTATCCTACCATCTGAAGTTACCTATGGTGGCTATAGCCTCAGAGCTGGACACATTACCAGCGACCGTAATGTTGCTTTGCCAGTAACCTCGGGCCTCGATTATGTTCGTCGGTCCGCTCAGGGGGTTGGGAGCACCAGCCAGAGCTTGTTGCGGAGGAAGTGTGATGCTGTTCACATCCGGACTACCGCTCTGTCCCCAAGGGTTCGTCTGGGCTTTCCAATAAGGATAGCCTCTATCATCGGTGACCAGGAGCTCTGTCACGGGGTTGTTGAAGTTTGAGCCGATAGTCGAGACGCAATCGCCATTCGCTCCGGAAACAGGCCAGTAATAGACGTCCACATTGCCACCAAACATCGTGCACTGTCCACAACATCCTACATTATTTGTTGTAGTAGCGATAGTATTCCAATCAATCATGTGGGTACTCCAGCCGTCGAATATCCGACCAGACCAGGTCCAGCGAAGTTGATCTGCGTGTTGGGTATGATACTCATAGAAGCTTTGGACGCATTCAGGCTGTCTCAACCAGTCTAAAAACTCAGGCAGTACTGCTGGAGAGGGTAGCCAAGGAGCGCATTCAAGCTCGCGTGACCAAATGCAATGCGCGCCGTAGACCACGTTGTATAGTGTCCCTGAGTTATTGAAAAATAAATCGAGGGCTTCTGTCCTGTTGCCGGTGCACTGATTGTCCCAGAGTAGACACTGGTCCAGAAACTACAAGCCGAAGTGTCAGCTGTACTTCCCTTGGTGTATAAGACCTTGGTCTGAAAATGGGCAGCTTACGTTGTTGTATATGTCCAACGACGGCCAAGGAGCCTGTTCCAGTGATGAATTCGAGCTACTATTAAGGCTTTGTCCAGTAGCGTTCAAAGATGGGCTAGAGGCTCCCAACACGCCTGGGCCTGTTTCATTGGAGAAGGGGCCGGAGTTATTCCATGAGCCCCGGTCAATGGGACTGAGCGCTTGAGCCACGGCGCCATTCCCCGTGACTGGCCACAGCACCACGCCGGTGGTGGGCGTATAAATGGTACAGAGCAGTAGCAGCAAGTGCAACATTTCTCGTGCTGCACGACACAAAGGCGATTTGGGACTAACGAGAGCCTGCACTGTGCGGCTGGTGAATTGACCAACAGTTTTACGGCAGGTGTAGAATGTCAAGGGAGCTGTGATTTCTCACCCAGAAAAGGGCAAGAAGAGCATTTTCTTAGATGAGCTACAAGGCAAGCGGGGAGTAAGCCTGCACTGGAGTTATATTTGTGTAGAATGTACTGTTTCCAAATCTCATCATGCTCGGTGCGGGTCAGGAAATTCTAAACGAACAAAGAAAGGCGAAATACAAGGTGCATCATATTCTCTTCAAGGCGAGAAGAATGACAAAGATGTGGAAAAGGGTTCGAGAGTAAGGCTGCGGGTTGTTAGCCGACCTCATGGAGTTTTTTTCCTCCTTTACGGTTCTAGGAATCCTTCAGGATCCTGGCTTACCGAAGGACGTGTTTCAGCAAGCGTCAGGCCCACTGAGTGAACATAGAATTACGGGTTGTCCGCATCGATCAGTAAGTATCAGTAAGTATCAGTAGATACATCATGGAGGTACAGGCTCAACCGAGTCTATACCCGAGGTCTTATATGTATCCCAAGTGGATGCAAGACGGAAGGAAGCGGGCTCGTGTCCCAAATTCAAGGCACACACTGACAAAAGGCATCAACTCCTAGGTTACCTACCAGCCAAAACGTAAGCTCCAAACGTCATTGCAACCATGATCGTTCTTCTGCTATCCATTTGGATCATCGCATTCCGCTATTCTAAGACAAAATCACCGTACTCAGGAGACTGCGACCGGAAATGAAAGGGCAAATGCGCTGTCTTAGGACGCAGACACGTGTCATATCCTATGGCACAGTGCATGCGTAGGACTTCTTGTGATTTCGCCGTCAAATGCATGCGCAAGGTGAAACGATGCAGGATGACTGACTGATATCTCCGCCGCCTTACGTAAGCGTTCTCGAGCACAACCACACTCGAGTGCCGACCAATCACATAGTCTTCATTGTGAATCGCACGTGACCTTGAATGCGGCTGAGTATGGCTGTGCTATATTGAAGATCAAGGGTGACGAGGCTTTAATATAGGGATGTCGCTTAAAATATTCAAGGTTCTGATATTGGAGTTCATGGAAATTGCTCGCGCGTCCATTGGCGCGATTCTTCCATCGTGGGGCTCAGCTTTGCAAGGCTATGCAATGCAGTCAGATGCTTATATGGTACTAATACATCCCTTGGCACTTAATCCGGAACGCTCTCTCTCTGCAGTATTCTGATGCGTGTACTCCTTTTACCCAGTCTGTGCCATCCTGTTATGATCATGGCCTGTGAACTCTCTGTAGCCATCTGATCACGCGTAAATCAATCTAAGGCCCAGGTATAAGGCGAGATGACGGCAGAAAAAACGAACAGAAGAAAGAAAGCTTATCTCGTCGAGAACTTGATTAAGATGCATCGACTCTTCCTGGTCCACAAAGAGGACGGTGAGTATACAGAAACATGCCAGTCACGGACCCTATCCTCGAAGAGCGATTGCTCTCCTATTTGACCAGCTTCCGCTTTCGAAGACCCGCGGAGAGTGCATCAACATTTGAGTGGAATGCAGCTGAAGCGACGATAACTTCGTGTGTAAGAAGTAGGTACTTCAAACCCCGCGCCACGCCTCTCCAGTTTCCTTCGTCTTCACTTGATATAGATATCGTCGTCTAAGCAAGGACTGTGGCGTTCCTCAAGGACGCCCGCGGAACAGTGGCACCAGAAGACATCTATTGTCGGGGCGTTCTCGGGCTACATCCTCGTGGATGGTCTTTGTACTGGCACAACTTCGTGACTTGAGCTAAATGGTTGAAAAATTGTAAGGCTTCTCTTCGAACAAACATAAGCTCTTATTGATAAGTCTAGGACTCATCTAGGGTTAAGAGAACTTACTTATTCGAGGCTTTCATCCCTCATCGTCTTTTACTTAGCGCTTACCTTTCACGAACAGAGATCACTTGATCTAGGGTTCGAACCATTGGAAAAACGCCTTGATGATCGTTGAAGCCCATGCCAGTTTGCCACGATGAGGGGTAGCATAACACAGTGCTGCAGCATTTCCAACAATCTTCCTCTTTACCGGAAATCTTCTTTGCAAGGAGTATGTAAGCACTGTTAACCACTAGGCCATAGACCCATAAAAATGCGTGGTTATCGCGCTTCATGCACGAGTACACCCTTTGAACCCTATAAGCTTAGGTCAGGCCAGGCCTGACAGAGTATCTGTGCTGATTGAAAATTACAGTCCCATTTTGGGTAGGTGCTACAGTTGCTCTTTTCGGTAGGGATCACGTGTTCTTTTTGGGTAGGTGCTATGATTACCTTTTTAGGTGAAGCGCCGAGAAAACTCCCATACCTATGGCATAGACCTGGAGTGAGATGGTAGCTAGCTATATACAGGTGTGGGTGGGATAAAAGTATGCAATGGCTCTGAAAGAGACGAAATCGAACGAAGAGCAATTGACAGGTGTAAAATAGGTGGATATGTAGCTCGTGGTGAACAGGTGTCTCCTACCCCTGACAGGATACCTGAAACAGCGGCTGTATCGTGAAACCCACTAACCCTTTTTGGGCAGGTGCTACAATGTCCTTTTTGGGTAGGTGCTACAATGTCCCTTTTGGGTAGGTGCTACAATGTCCCTTTTGGGTAGGTGCTACAATGTCCCTTTTGGGTAGGTGCTACAATGTCCCTTTTGGGTAGGTGCTACAATGTCCCTTTTGGGTAGGTGCTACAATGTCCCTTTTGGGTAGGTGCTACAATGTCTCTTTTGGGGGGGTGCTACAATGTCCCTTTTGGGTAGGTGCGATGATATCTTGCTTGGGTGACTGACACAGTTGCTCCTTTAGATCGAGATCTACTCACAGCGATCTTTGCAGTGATGAGTGATATTGAGTCGTCCGTACCTAGTAAAGACGCGAACTTTGCTTTCAAACCTGTGACAGCTATGGCGAGGTGCCTTTGGACGAGTCTTTGTCTATTCTGGGAAAAGATGGCTCTCCCCTGACTCTTTTTATGCTCATGGCATCGCGCTCCGGCGACGAGAGAAAAGTCGCAGAAACAGTCAACCTGGAACCTGTACCAATTCCACCCCTAGGTAGAAGTTTAGTGACTAGTTCAGATATATTGACGGCCCGTAGGCGCTTCCAGGCTTCAAGCGCTGGTCGAATTGCGCCGTTAGAGACGCTTCTGTTGCTCAAGCGTCCGACACGCGTTAGAGTCGTTTACTAGTCGTAGATCTTTGAATTATTAATGACATGCACTGTCAACGAAAGAGGCGAGGATAGATAGCAAATGTGAGATGGCGCAAAGACTGATGAGAGCAGTCGCGCGATGCGAGACGAAATGTTAACTTGTTCTAGTTGATCTTGTGGCGGATGATGAGCGACGGGTTAGATGGACGAGACGGCGATCAGACGCTGTTCATCGGCATATGAGAAGCCGGATATACCTGGCCCCGGACTCACGAACGGTCGCAAATCAAATTTTTTTCTCCAAAACGACACTCTGAAGCGGCCATCCTCATCTCCATCTTCAGTTGAGTCTATCCGACTCACCATGGAGCTCATCTCCATTTGTGCCTCAGCTATCTTTCTCGGCATCACGCTCCCCGTGCCCGTATCCAAGGCAAACGAAGATCCCACTACCCAGAATCTCGCCGCCCATCGCTAAATAGGGTCGTATTATAATCTCGGTAGCCATAAGAATAAGGCCGATGCGGTAGTAGCTAATAGTCTTGAGGACACGACTCCTGCCTCTCGTGAATGAACACCGACATATTACAGTGGCCAGCAGAATGCTAAAGCCGCTGCGGTAGCAGCCATTAGTCCTGAAAACACCACACCGGCATTGAGCAGTACTTCTGAAGATACGGCGGACACAGCACGGGACATGTGGTCTGACAAAGGCTTTGGAGGACCTCACATTAGCGGAGAACGAATGTGTGGACGGCATGGTAGCGTCCTTTGGTTTGGAGTTGTCATTGCGAGACTGTGCAGTTTCGAAGCGCACAAGATGCTATGGTAGCTAAACGTCGCGCTTGGAAAGTAGTCGAAAAGTCATCTATCAATAGGCTCTAAGATCGGTCTTGGAGATCCAGACTTTTTGGAGCAGCTGAAACTTTTATCAAATAGATCTGTAGTATTTGGTGGACCTGTCCCCCCACAAATATGTTCTAAGAACTTCCTTGGTTGGAGCAGAAGCCCCTTTGAAAGCGGTGAGTATAGACTCGACTCGAGATATTTTCCTAGCCTCGCTTGCGAGATGGAGAGCGTGACTT